TCGGTCGATAGGCAACCCATAACTTTTATCCAAAGTGACTTACAGTATACAGTTACATTACATGATAGTTAAGTGTTATAGACGTGTTAAAAAGGTGGATAATGATAAAGACGGGGAGAAAGGGGAAAGAAGAGATATATAAACTCCGCAAAAAAAGAAACGTCCTTTCACTGTCAACTGCGTTTATTTTCAGCAAACTTAACATGTGTAAATATTTGTATGAACATAACAAGATTTAACAACTGAGACACAAACTGAACAAGTTCCACAGACATGTGACTAACAGAAATGGAATAATGTGTCCCTGAACAAAGGGAGGTCAAAATCCAAAGTAACAGTCAGTATCTGGTGTGGCCACCAGCTGCATTAAGTACTGCAGCGCATCTCCTCCTCATGGACTGCACCAGATTTGCCAGTTCTTGCTGTGAGATGTTACCCCACTCTTCCACAAAGGCACCTGCAAGTTCCCTGACATTTCTGGGGGGGAATGGCCCTAGCCCTCACCCTCCGATCCAACAGGTCCCAGACGTGCTCAATGGGATTGAGATCCGGGCTCTTCGCTGGCCATGGCAGAACACTGACATTCCTGTCTTGCAGGAAATCACGCACAGAACGAGCAGTATGGCTGGTAGCATTATCATGCTGGAGGGTCATGTCAGGATGAGCCTGCAGGAAGGGTACCACATGAGGAAGGAGGATGTCTTCCCTGTAACGCACAGCGTTGAGATTGCCTGCAATGACAACAAGCTCAGTCCGATGATGCTGTGACACACCGCCCCAGACCATGACGGACCCTCCACCTCCAAATCAATCCTGCTCCAGAGTACAGGCCTCTGTGTAACACTCATTCATTCGATGATAAACGCGAATCCGACCATCACCCCTGGTGAGACAAAACCGTGACTCGTCAGTGAAGAGCACTTTTTGCCAGTCCTGTCTGGTCCAGCGACGGTGGGTTTGTGCCCATAGGCGACGTTGTTGCCGGTGATGTCTGGTGAGGACCTGCCTTACAACAGGCCTACAAGCCCTCAGTCCAGCCTCTCTCAGCCTATTGCGGACAGTCTGAGCACTGATGGAGGGATTGTGCGTTCCTGGTGTAACTCGGGCAGTTGTTGTTGCCATCCTGTACCTGTACAGGTGTGATGTTCGGATGTACCGATCCTGTGCAAGTGTTGTTACACGTGGTCTGCCACTGCGAGGACGATCAGCTGTCCGTCCTGTCTCCCTGTAGCGCTGTCTTAGGCGTCTCACAGTACGGACATTGCAATTTATTGCCCTGGCCACATCTGCAGTCCTCATGCCTCCTTGCAGCATGCCTAAGGCACGTTCACGCAGATGAGCAGGGACCCTGGGCATCTTTCTTTTGGTGTTTTTCAGAGTCAGTAGAAAGGCCTCTTTAGTGTCCTAAGTTTTCATAACTGTGACCTTAACTGCCTACCGTCTGTAAGCTGTTAGTGTCTTAATGACCGTTCCACAGGTGCATGTTCATTAATTGTTTATGGTTCATTGAACAAGCATGGGAAACAGTGTTCAAACCCTTTACAATGAAGATCTGTGAAGTTATTTAGATTTTTATGAATTATCTTTGAAAGACAGGGTCCTGAAAAAGGGACGTTTCTTTTTTTGCTGAGTTTAGTTGTCACATTCTGACATAGTGTAACACAATTTATAAAAAGGAATGTCACTTAGCCGGTCCAGAAGCAACCCCCAGAGTTTGTATCCCAGGTGGGGACAGAACTCACTCTGTTACAATGGTGCCGTAACCCGGATCACAGACTGCTGTAGCAGACTACTAGGGGGTGAGTGTAGTGGATGTGAAACTAGCAGGCTAGAACTAGTAGCCATCATGTGGTGAAGTCACCCTCACCAAGATCTTAAGTGAACTGTTTCTCACCGAGTCACAAGCTCTGTCTGTCAGTACAGTTGACTTCAGTGCCAAGTGTTGTGTACAGAGGGTGGGATGGAACACACTCCGTTACAGCAACATGTTGGTGCTCCATTTGCCTTCCAATCAGGGTCCTAGATTCTAAAGGTTCTAAAGATTCTCAGAGTATGAGTGCTGATCTAGGATCAGGTCCTCCTTATCTTATTTATTATGATCTGAAAGGCAAAAACACTTATGAAACCAATTAACTAGCCTACTGATTTTGCTACACTCGTTATGTCTAGGGGTCCTAAGCCTACTTACTTAACTACCAAACCTATTCTATATCTTCTCCCCCCAACAAGAAAAAACCTCACAGTCACCACAATCTATTTTCCTGAATTTTTCTAAACTTGTAACCTTTTTTTTTATTTTAATTTTTTTCATAAAAGTTCCTTAACTGAAGAGACCAATATGTACACTAGTGCTGAGCGATTAGCCGACGATTAGCCGACATTCCAGAGGTCCCCCCTCTGAATTGACCAACGTCTTCAATTATTTGAATTCCATTTAGTTCATTTTTTTGTGAGCTCAAAGCACTGTTTTTAGAAAGAAATCAAATCAAGAAGCACAAACTGTGGGACTTAGTAGGAAGTTGTCGTTTTCAACAGGCAAAAACTAAACATAGTTTAGCGCAGAAAACGTGGTAATTAGCTACAATGACCATAATGCATTGCGCCTACTGCTGCCTGTTATTGACACACACAGACCGCATGAGAGGAAGGGACTGCAGAACTCGAACTTGAGGGAGAGGGACAGAGACACAGAGTCCCCACACAAAGCATCCTTCTCCCCATCTGGTTTGCCATCAGCACTCTTCTGAACATGAGTAGCTTCACAAACTGGGGATTGCTCAAAACTCTCCTTGAGAGACTCCACCCCCTGAGAGACCAACTCCATTCACAGCGCCCATGATCACATGCACCAAGCTCCATCTGATAGGTGGCCAGTGACTAGAGACCTGGAGCAACCACCAACAGGGACAAGTGAACATCGACCAACATCTTCATCTCCTCACACTTAACTTCACAAAACTCACTCTGAAGTGTATCTGGCTTTTCCACCAAACTCACTTCTTTAATGCCCTATTCTTCTCCCAAGACACAGCCGTGTCATCCCGCAAAATCCAGACCGGGTCTCCCAGCGGACCCTCACTAACCTCACAGAACATGTCAGCTAAAAGAACAAATGAATCACTGACAAACTCTGAATCCAACAGATCACTCAGGGGAACCAAATCCTTTCTCAGACCACCAAGAGAACCTAGTTGCTCAGTGTCACTCAACACAACAAAGAACGTCTCCCCTAAATTGACACATGAATCAACCTCATCCTGTGCAGAGGGCACACTACATCACATACAGGGCTGTGAAAAAGTATTTGCCTCCTTTCTGATTTTCTCTATTTTTGCGTATTTTTGATACTGAATGTTAGATCTTCAACCAAAACCTAATATTAAAGGGAACCTACGTTTATTTTATTTCTTTAATTAACAAAGTTATGCAACACCCAATTCCCCTGTGTGAAAAAGTAAATGCCTCCTTACACTCAATAATAGGTTGTGCCACCTTTAGCTGCAATGGCTGCCACCAAATGCTTCCTGTAGTTGTTGATCAGTCTCTCACATCGCTGTGGAGGAATTATCGCCCACTCTTCCATGCAGAACTGCTTTAACTCAGCGACATTTGTGGGTTTTCAAGCATGAACTACTCGTTTCAAGTCCTGCCATAACATCTAATTTGGGATTAGGTTTGGACTTTGACTAGGCCATTTCAAAACTTTAAATTTGTTGCTTTTTAGCCATTTTCATGTAGACTTGATTGTGTGTTTTGGATCATTGTTTTGCTGCATGATTCAGCTGCACTTCAGCTTCAGCTGACAGACGGATGGTCTGACATTCTCCTGTAGAATTCTCTGATACAGAGCAGAATTCATGTTTCCTTCTATTAAGGCAAGTCGTCCAGGTCCTGAGGCAGCAAAGATTCCTCAAACCATCACACTACCACCACCATGCTTGACTGTTGGTATGAGGTTCTTACTGTGGAATGCAGTGTTTGGTTATCGTCAGGCATAAATGGGACCCACGTCGTCCAAAAACCTCATACCAACGGTCAAGCATGGTGGTGGTAGAGTGATGGTTTGAGGATTCTTTGCTGCCTCAAGACTTGGACGACTTGCCTTAATAGAAGGAAACATGAATTCTGCTCTGTATCATAGAATTCTACAGGAGAATGTCAGGCCATCCATCTGTGAGCTGAAGCTGAAGCACAGCTGGGTCATGCAGTAAGACAATGATCCAAAACACAATCAAGTCTACATGAAAATGGCTAAAAAGCCACACATTTGAAGTTTTAGAATGGCCTGGTCAAAGTCCAGACCTAACCCCAATTGAGATGTTGTGGCAGGACTTGAAATGAGCAGTAGTTCTGCATGGAAGAGTGGGCAAAAATTCATCCACCGCGACATGAGACTGATCAACAACTACAAGAAACGTTTGGTTGGAGTCATTGCAGCTAAAGGTGGCAAACACTTTTTCACAGCACTGTATATCTCTGCCCAGAAGTTCTCTGCTAGAGACACAAACTTTCTCACTATGGAGAACCATTACCTGAACCACCATCTAGTTTGGCAAAGAATGTTTCCTCTAAGTCCCCACACAAATCATCTTTCTCCCCATCTGGTTTGCCATCAGCACTCTTATGAACATGAGTAGCTTCACAAACTGGGGATACCTCAAAACTCTCCTTGAGAGACTCCGCCCCCTGAGACACCTGACTTTTCACTGGGGTTATGCTGCGTTCATAACATCTCGTAAATTCGTAAATACCAACATACGACTGGGAAAGATCCACTTGAATGCCCCTCCAACTGGTAATTACTAGTGGGAATCTTGTCTATCATCTCTAAATACCTAACCTAATCAATAACAACATCTACAAAAAAAACAAAGAAATATAGAGAAGTTGTTGCTGTTCATCATTTTCTTAAAACCTCAAATTGCAGGGCTTTTAGTATTGTTGTATGTATTGTCAATACCGGTATAACCTGTATCTCGTTCTTCGCTTCTCTGCTCGGCTCAGATTGAGTCCTGGAGAGGCCTTGGGTCAGTCTGGGACACCTGCTTCCCTGTTAAGCCGTTGGTTGAGTTTGGTTCTTTGTCATTGGGCATCTCATTTACCCCTGAATCATTCACAGACATTCTGTCCTCTTTTGGGTCAATGTCCTTAACAGGTTGGTATTGACTGATATCGTCACTATAGACTTCATGGAGGCTATTCAGGTCAACGTCCTTCATGGGTTGATATTGACCGATCTCCTGACTGTAGTCTTCATGTAGGCTATTCAGGTCAGTATCCTTCATGGGGTGGTATTGACTGATCTCCTGACTGTAGTCTTCATGGAGGATATTCAAGTCAACATCCTTCATGGGTTGGTATTGACTGATCTCCTGACTGTAGTCTTCATGTAGGCTGTTCAGGTTCACATCACTACTCATGCTGATATCGGAGTCATTAGAGAGCTCTTCAAAGAACTCTTCAAAGCTCTTCAAACCCAACACAGGCCCACTCTTCGAAGGCCCACCTGTGTTGCTGGAGCTTGGTTGTTGGCACCTTGTCATGACTCCTGTTTCATTCACAGTTTTTCTACATATACCATCTACTGAAGAAAGTAATTCCTTCGCCATCTCATCAGAACATTTCTCCCTACAAAGTTTTTTCGTTTTCAGGTGCGTCTTCAAATCAGTATGGAATATAAAAGTCTTTGGACACACCAGGCACTTGATGGGGCCATTGTTGTAGTGTTTTAACATGTGCCTTCGCATGTCACATGCCTTCGAGGATATTTTCCCACACACCTGGCACTTTCTGGAACAGTCTTTTGTGTGTCCTTTCAGATCATCTGGTTGCTGGAAAGTGTCCCCACAGTAAGGACACTTGTACTCACCAGGGTTGGATTGGTCAATGTCCTTAATGGGTTGGTATTGACTGATCTCCTGACTGTTGTCTTCATGGAGGCTATTCAGGTTCACATCACTACTCATGCTGTTATCGGATTGCTGCGTGTCATGAGAGAACTCTTCAATGCTCTTTGAAGGCCCACCTGTGTCGCTGGAGCTTGGTTGTTGACAACTTGCCCCTTCTCCTGTTTCATTGACATTTGTCCTACATCTACCATCTACTGAAGACAGTAATTCCTTCGCCATCACATCAGAACATTTCTCCCTACAAAGTTTTTTTGTTTTCAGGTGCTTCTTCAAATCAGTATGGTATACAAAAGTCGTTGGACACACCGGGCAGTTGATGGGGCCATTGTAGTGTTTTAACATGTGCCTTCGCATGCCACATGCCGTCGAAGTTGTTTTCCCACACACATGGCACTTTCTGGAACAGTCTTTTTTGTGTCTTTTCAGATCACGTGGTAGCTGGAAGGTCTCCCCACAGTAAGGACACTTGTACTCACCAGGGTTGGATTGGCCAACGTCCTTAATGGGTTGGTATTGACTGATCTCCTGACTGAAGTCTTCATAGAGGCTATTCATGTTCACCTCACTACTCATGCTGATATCGGAGTCATTAGAGAGCTCTTCAAAGAACTCGTCAAAGCTCTTCAAACCCAACACAGGCCCACTCTTCGAAGGCCCACCTGTGTTGCTGGAGCTTGGTTGTTCACACCTTGTCATAACTCCTGTTTCATTGACATTTGTCCTACATCTACCATCTACTGAAGAAGGTAATTCCGTCGCCATCACATCAGAATATTTCTCCCTACAAAGTTTTTTCGTTTTCAGGTGTGTTTTCAAATCAGTATGGAATATAAACGTCTTTGGACACACCGGGCACTTGATGGGGCCATTGTTGTCATGTTTTAACATGTGCCTTCGCATGTCACATGCCTTTGAGGATATCTTCCCACACACATGGCACTTTCTGGAACAGTCTTTTGTGTGTCCTTTCAGATCATCTGGGAGCTGGAAAGTGTCCCCACAGTAAGGACACTTGTACTCACCAGGGTTGGATTGGTTAACGTCCTTAATGGGTTGGTATTGACTGATCTCGTCACTGAAGTCTTCATGGAGTCTATTCAAGTCAACGTCCTTAATGGGTTGGTATTGACTGATCTCGTCACTGTGGTCTTCTTCGAGGCTAATAAGGTTCATATCACTACTCATGCTATTCTCGGATTGCTGCGAGTCATGAGAGAGCTCTTCAATGCTCTTTGAAGGCCCACCTGTGTTGCTGGAGCTTGGTTGTTGGCAGCTTGTGATGACTCTGGTTTCATTTAACATTTTCCTACATCTACCATATCCTGAAGACAGTAATTCTTTCATCATCACATCAGAACATTTCGCTCTACAACGTTTTTTCAGTTTCAGGTGTTTCTTCAAATCAGGATGGTATATAAAAGTCCTTGGACACACTGGGCACTTGTAGGTGCCATTGTTGTTGTGTCTTAACATGTGCCTTCGCATGCCACGTGCCGTTGAAGTTATTTTCCCACACACATGGCACTTTCTGGAACAGTCTTTTGTGTGTCCTTTCAGATCACGTGGTAGCTGGAATGTGTCCCCACAGTAAGGACACTTGTAATCCCCAGGGTTAGATTTGAGGTGGAGCTTGGTTGTAATTACTTTATCAGAACATTTCTTACTATAAGACCTTTTCAATCTTCGGGGCAATTTCAAATCAGCATTGTCCTTCACCATCATATCAGAACATTTCTCCCTACAAAGTTTTTTCGTTTTCAGGTGCTTCTTCAAATTAGTATGGTATACAAAAGTCTTTGGACACACTGGGCACTTGATGGGGCCATTGTTTTTGTGTTTTAACATGTGCCTTCGCATTTCCATCATTCGAGAAGTTGTTTTCCCACACACATGGGACTTTCTGGAACAGTCTTTTGTGTGTCCTTTCAGATCATATGGTAGCTGGAAAGTGTCCCCACAGTAAGGACACTTGTAATCTCCAGGGTTGGATTTGAGGTGGAGCCTGGTTATAATTACTTTATCAGAACATTTCTTCCCACATGATCTTTTCAATTTCAGGTGCGATCTCAAATCACAATTTAATATAAAAGTCTTTGGACACACAGGGCACTTGTATGCGCCATTGTTGAAGTGAAGTAGAAGGTGCCTTTGCAAACTTACAATACGAGTAGTTATTTTCCCGCACACATGGCACTTTATGGAGCCATCTTTTGTGTGTCCTTTCAGATCAGGCTTTTTGTCTCTTTTCAGATCAGGTGTTTTTTTCAGATAATTTTTTTGCTGGACAGTTTCCCCACAGTAGTCATCACCACTCTTGTTCTCCTCACAGCTACTCTTCTGGTGTTCCTCTAAGTCCTCACTGAATTCAAAGTCTTGCCCACACTGGGTGCATTGGTGTGACCTCTGCTCAATGTGAGATCGCATGTGTCTTGTCAAGCCCAGTGTTTCAGTGAAAGTCTTGCGACAGAAAGAGCATGCTTTGACTCTTTGGCTTCTTTTGTGAGTGGTGTTGGATAGCTCAGGAGTTATTGAGTCCTGAGGTACACTCTCTGAGACTCCACCTAGTGTTGAAGAGAGAAAAGTGAGCAAGACATCTACATCTTATCAACAAACTCAAGTCAAGGTACTACAGCCTAAAAGATACAGTAAAAGTGTTCACTGAACTCAAAGGATGATACACATAAGCACTTGGTTATTCTGACAGCAGAATAGCATGGACGCTTAGGGCTAGTAACCTAGTTTGTTTATTCAGTAGTTTTGAATAAGGAGCTCATGTTCACTGCTCTACACACTAAGGAACACTCCTTACCAGAATCACTGACAGTGGTCCTTTTAATGACAGTGGTCCAAAGTTTATTATCTGGCGGTTTGGCATCTTCCCTGAGGAGAGACAAATATAAAGTAAGTTATGATTTTCAATGGGTAAGTTCAGTTCCAAGGTCCTAGCCACTACAATAGGGGCATTCAAATCTGGGCCTCGAGGTCTGCACCACTGCTGGTTTTCACCCTTCCCCCAATAACCCCTCAAATCAGGGACAGACCCTCTGTACAATAGGTGAATGTATTCCTTCGTCGATCAATTTACTCCCTTGAAGCCTGGATTTGAATACCTCTGTTCCACAGCTGACACTCACTCAGTTTCAGGTGACCGCTCTCTTTTCACACCCTTTGTTTCGGTCTTCTCATTTTTGTCACCATGTCCTCTTTTCTGTTTTCTCTTTCTGCCTCTTCTTTTCTGTCCGTGGGAACCCGTGGCCTCAGCATGCAGTTTCCCGCTCTGTATAAAATATATATTCTGGTCATAAAAATGCACACTCAGACTTAAAGCCATGCCTTTTCATTTATTTTCTTGAATTAACTTAAATGTATCACACTTATGTAAACTTCAAATGAAGGTGGATAAACATGTAGCTAATACTAGATGACATAGATGCTTTTATCCACAGTGACCAAATGATATTAAAGTGTCATAAAAGTGGATAATTAATGATATAGAGGGAGAGAAAGGGGATAAAATACAGTGAGGGAAAAAAGTATAAAAGTATTTGATCTCCTGCTGATTTTGTATGTTTGCCCACTGACAAAGACATGATCAGTCTATAATTTTAATGGTAGGTTTATTTGAACAGTGAGAGACAGAATAACAACAAAGAAATCCAGAAAAACGCATGTCATAAATGTTATGAATTGATTTGCATTTTAATGAGGGAAATAAGTATTTGACCCCTCTGCAAAACATGACTTAGTACTTGGTGGCAAAACCCTTGTTGGCAATCACAGAGGTCAGACGTTTCTTGTAGTTGGCCACCAGGTTTGCACACATCTCAGGAGTTTTTTGTCCCACTCCTCTTTGCAGATCTTCTCCAAGTCATTAAGGTTTCGAGGCTGACGTTTGGCAACTCGAACCTTCAGCTCCCTCCACAGATTTTCTATGGGATTAAGGTCTGGAGACTAACTAGGCCACTCCAGGACCTTAATGTGCTTCTTCTTGAGCCACTCCTTTGTTGCCTTGGCCGTGTGTTTTGGGTCATTGTCATGCTGGAATAACCATCCACAACCCATTTTCAATGCCCTGGCTGAGGGAAGGAGGTTCTCACCCAAGGTTTGACGGTACATGGCCCCGTCCATCGTCCCTTTGATGCAGTGAAGTTGTCCTGTCCCCTTAGCAGAAAAACACCCCCAAAGCATAATGTTTCCACCTCCATGTTTGACGGTGGGGATGGTGTTCTTGGGGTCATAGGCAGCATTCCTCCTCCTCCAAACACGGCGAGTTAAGTTGATGCCAAAGAGCTCGATTTTGGTCTCATCTGACCACAACACTTTCACCCAGTTCTCCTCTGAATCATTCAGATGTTCATTGGCAAACTTCAGACGGCCCTGTATATGTGCTTTCTTGAGCAGGGGGACCTTGCGGGCGCTGCAGGATTTCAGTCCTTCACGGCGTAGTGTGTTACCAATTGTTTTCTTGGTGACTATGGTCCCAGCTACCTTGAGATCATTGACAAGATCCTCCCGTGTAGTTCTGGGCTGATTCCTCACCGTTCTCATGATCATTGCAACTCCACGAGGTGAGATATTGCATGGAGCCCCAGGCCGAGGGAGATTGACTGTTCTTTTGTGTTTCTTCCATTTGCGAATAATCGCACCAACTGTTGTCACCTTCTCACCAAGCTGCTTGGCGATGGTCTTGTAGCCCATTCCAGCCTTGTGTAGGTCTACAATCTTGTCCCTGACATCCTTGGAGAGCTCTTTGGTCTTGGCCATGGTGGAGAGTTTGGAATCTGATTGATTGATTGCTTCTGGTGGACAGGTGTCTTTTATACAGGTAACAAACTGAGATTAGGAGCACTCCCTTTAAGAGTGTGCTCCTAATCTCAGCTCATTACTTGTATAAAAGACACCTGGGAGCCAGAAATCTTTCTGATTGAGAGGGGGGTCAAATACTTATTTCCCTCATTAAAATGCAAATCAATTTATAACATTTTTTACATGCGTTTTTCTGGAATTTTTTGTTGTTATTCTGTCTCTCACTGTTAAAGCCTACCATTAAAATTATAGACTGATAATTTCTTTGTCAGTGGGCAAACGTACAAAATCAGCAGGGATCAAATACTTTTTCCCCTCACTGTATATAGTAGTTACATTTTGACATGAAGTTATTTGTTTAAATATAATAATACAAAAATAAGGAACGGCACTTCAGCCCGGTCCAGAGGCAACCCCCAGAGTTTGTGGAATACACTCCGTTATAGCAACATGTTGGTGCTCCATTTGCCTTCCAATCAGGGCCCTAGATTCTAAAGCTTCTCAGAGTACGAGTGCTGATCTAAGATCAGGTCTTATTTATTATGATCTGAAAGGCAAAACTGATCCTAGAGCAGCACTCCTATTCTGAGACACTTTGTGAATAGGGGCCCAGGTTTAGGAGAGCTACCGCCATATTCCTTACATTTTCGAGTATCTACACATCTGCTAACACCAATGCATTATAGGAAAAGGGGTTGAAAGCCATTGTTGTCCATCATTTCAGGGCTCCAGACTGTGACCATTTAGTCCCTTTGACTTGGCTGTGCAAGTAAAAACAAATAATTGGTCGCACTGGTGCAAGCTGAACATTCTACCTGGTCAAGTCAATCAAAACATCCTATTTTTTAGGCAGATATAACTATGAATTTGTTAAACAGTAAAGTAAATTATCTGCCCTGCCTGCCTGTTTCACTGGGGCCGGCTGTAACGAGCTAGCTTCTCACACTCTCTCTCGCCCCTCGTGATTGTATACCACTTCAAAATGCAATTGCGGGAAAGAAACAACTTTGGGAGCAACTAGTTGTCCATATTAAAGTGAGGAGTGTCTCAGCTTTCTGTAGGTATACTTTTATTTCTCAACTATCGTTACTGAGCTCAAAGCACACTGTTTTACAATCAAGATATCTGATATGGCTTTGAAACACGGAGCGTGCAAAATTGTGCATCGGCAATCACGAGTGCACTAGGCCTCATTGCAAAGTTTTTTTTAGGACATTACATTTACTGTTAGATTAATACATGGCTACTAGCAGTAGGTGTTATATGTAGAGTTCTAGCTAATGTGATCTATCTAATGCATTTTGAGTTTCCACTTCCTCAGGTGGTGAATTAGTACCAATTGAATTAGGCCTAGGCTATATATAATATTACACATGACGATGATGAAGACAAATTCATCTCTATTGAACGAAAAAATATGAACATTCTAAAGCCCTATTTTGACAGTCAAATATAACACAAATAGCCTAATTGTCAACCCAAATGACAATCAATGGATTAGGTTGGATATCAAAATATTTTGAATCATGCATTCCTGCTTGGATATGTTAGATGTAACAACCTATTTATTGAATACCGTCTCAGTAGTCTATTAAACTTCTTGATAAAGCATTGTGAATGACTGACTTCATAAATTACATGTATTTATTATTGAAATAAGTTTGCTAATATGGAATAATTGATGCTAAAACCATCAAACTAGTAGTAGTTTAAAGAAAAGAGAAAACAAATGGTGCACATTGTTTTAAACTTATCGTTCTATTTATTGTTATCGCATCAATTCAGGCAATTTATCGCGTTACGGATTTTTGTCCATATCGTCCGGCTCTATGTGATACTGCGAAAAAAACTGAAAAAGTTAGTGGCACCAGTGCCATCAGCGGAAAATATTAGTCTGGAGCCCTGCATTTCCTTAAAACCTTTAGTATTGTCGTATCTATTGTCGATTACGGTATCACCTGTATCTCGGTCTTCACTTCTCCGCTCGTCTCTGGTTGAGAATCCTGGAGAGGCCTTGGGTCAGTCTGGGACACCTGCTTCCCTGTTAAGCCGTTGGTTGAGATTGGTTCTTTGTCATTGGGCATCTCATTTACCCCTGAATCATTCACAGACTTTCTGTCCTTCTCTGGGTCAACGTCCTTCATGGGTTGGTATTGACTGATCTCATCACTGTAGTTTTCAGTGGTCATCATGGAGGCTTCATGGAGGCAATTCAAGTCAACATCCGTAATGGGTTGGTTTTGACTGATCTCCTGACTGTAGTCGTCATGGAGGATATTCAAGTCAACATCCTTCATGGGTTGGTATTGACTGACTGTAGACTGACTGTAGTCTTCATCAAGGCTATTCAGGTTCACGTCACTACTCCTGCTGTTATCAGATTGCTGAAAGTCATAAGAGAACTGTTCAAATAACTTTTCAATACTCTTCGAAGGCCCGCCTGCGTTGCTGGAGCTTGGTTGTTGGCAGCTTATGACTCCTGTTTCATTTTTCCCACATCTACCATCTATTGATGACAGTAATTTCCTTCACCATCACATCAGAACATTTCTCCCTACATTGTTTATTTTTTTTCAGGTGCATCTTCAAATCAGTATGGGATATAAAAGTCCTTGGACACACTGGGCACTTGTAGGGGCCATTGTTGGTGTGTCTTAACATGTGCCTTCGCATGCCGCATGGCTTCAAAGTTGTTTTCCCACACACATGACACTTTCTGGAACAGTCTTTTGTGTGTCCTTTCAGATCATGTGGTAGCTGGAAAGTGTCCCCACAGTAAGGACACTTGTACTCACCAGGGTTGGATTGGAGATGGACTTTGGTATTAATTACTTCATCAGAACATTTCTCCCTACAAGATCTTTTCAATCTCAGGTGCGATCTCAAATCAGCATTTGTTATAAAAGTTGTTGGACACACAGGGCATTTGTATGCGCCATTGTTGAAGTGAAGTAGAAGGTGCCTTCGCAAACCCAGCATACGAGTAGTTATTTTCCCGCACACATGGCACTTTATGGCGCGGCCTTTTGTTTGTCCTTTCAGGTCAGGTTTATTGTCTGCTTTCAGATCAGGTTTTTTGTCTCTTTTCAGATCTGTTTTTTGCTGGACAGTTTCCCCACCACTGTCTTTTTTTATCTTCTCCTCACAGCTACTCTTCTGATGTTCCTCTAAGTCCTCACTGGACTCATAGTCTTGCCCACACTGGGTGCATTGGTGTGACCTCTGCTCAATGTGAGATCGCATGTGTCTTGTCAAGCCCAGTGTGTCAGTGAAAGTCTTGCCACAGAAAGAGCATGCTTTGACGCGTTGGCTTCTTTTGTGCGAGCTGTTGGATGGCTCAGGAGTTAATGAGTCCTGAAGTACAATCTCAGTTAGTAAATCATTAGGTACACTCTCTAAAATAATTTCTACGTTCTGCCCTTCGGCCATATGACCACTGTGCTCATCTGAATTAATTTTGTGAGAGGTGTTGGATGGCTCAGGTGTTAGTGAGTCCTGAGGTACCATCTCTGGGAGTTCTTCTCTGTTCTGCGCTTCGGCCATCTGAACACTGTGCTCCTCTGAGTGAATTTTGTGAGAGGTGTTGGATGGCTCAGGAGTTAGTAAATCCTGAGGAACCATCTCTGGGAGTTCTTCTCTGTTCTGCGCTTCGAACATATGACCACTGTGCTCCTCTGAGTTAATTTTGTGAGAGGTGTTGGATGGCTCAGGAGTTAGTGAGTCCTGAGGTACCATCTCTGGGAGTTCTTCTCTGTTCTGCGCTTTGGCCATCTGAACACTGTGCTCCTCTGAGTGAATTTTGTGAGAGGTGTTGGGTGGCTCAGGTGTTAGTGAGTCCTGAGGTACCATCTCTGGGAGTTCTTCTCTGTTCTGCGCTTCGGCCATCTGAACACTGTGCTCCTCTGAGTGAATTTTGTGAGAGGTGTTGGGTGGCTCAGGTGTTAGTGAGTCTTGAGGTACCATCTCTGGGAGTTCTTCTCTGTTCTGCGCTTCGGCCAACTGAACACTGTGCTCCTCTGAGTGAATTTTGTGAGAGGTGTTGGGTGGCTCAGGTGTTAGTGAGTCTTGAGGTACCATCTCTGGGAGTTCTTCTCTGTTCTGCGCTTCGGCCAACTGAACACTGTGCTCCTCTGAGTGAATTTTGTGAGAGGTGTTGGATGGCTCAGGAGTTAGTGAGTCCTGAGGTACCATCTCTGGGAGTTCTTCTCTGTTCTGCGCTTCGGCCATATGACCACTGTGCTCCTCTGAGTGAAAGGTCTGTATGGGCTGTTCCTCCTCCCTCTTATGAGATGATGGGCAATGAAGAGAAGCATGGACTCCACCTAGTGTTGAAAAGAGAGAAGTGAGCAAGACATCCATATATCGACATAACTCAGTCAAAGAGAACAAGTAAGACAGATTCAGTGCTTGATAAAAATAGACTAGACCACATTTGAACAAATCTCAATACTGTGCCCATTTAATGCAGTGAAGAGATATGGAACTTCTCAAATAAATAACAAGGTACTGCAGCCTAATAGATGCAGGGAAAGTGTTTACTGAACTCGCAAGAGAGTATCATGGACATTTCGGTCTAGTAACCACTTTCTCTGCATCTTTAAGGCTGTCATTTATAGTTTATTCTTCTTTATTCAGGAGTTTTGCATATCTAAGGATCTTGACGTTCACTGCTCTACACTCACTAAGGAACTTTTCTTACCAGATTCATCGTCAGTGGCCCTTTCATTGAGAGTGACCCCTGTATTGACAGTGGTCCAAAGTTCATTATCTGATGGTTCAGCTTCTTCCCTGAGAAGAGACCAAAATGAAAGTCAGTTTTCAATGAGTAAGTTCACTGCCAAGGTCCTAGCAACTACTAGTAACCGCTACTACTTCAAATCTGGGCTGAGGTCTGCATCACTGCTGGTTTTAATCTTTTCCCCAATACCCCTCGAATCAGGATTCAATCCTCTGTACACTAGTTGAGTGTATTCTCTGAACAATCACTGATATTAATAAATACATTTACTACCTGGGAGAAAAGAAAACCAGCAGCACTGCAGACCTTGAGGCCTGGATTTGAATACCTCTGTTCCACAGCGGACACTCACTCAGTTTCAGGTGACCGCTCTCTTTTCACACCCTCATTTTTGACACCACATCCTCTTCTCCATTTTTTCTTTCTGCCCCTTTTTTTCCCCCCTTGAGAACCCGTTGCCTCCGCCTGCAGTTTCCCTCTCCTTATAATCAGTTTTAGTGAGGGCTTGGGTAATGGCATATCGCTAATGTCAAGCGTGTGTGCTCCAATCTTCTCGATCTTTAATCTGGTGGTACCAGGTCCTATTTTCTTTCCTTTCTTCCTGCCTCTTTTTTTCTGTACTTGGGAACTCGTCGGCTCATCCAGCAGTACCCCTCTCTTTAGCGTCAGTGTTAGCGAGGATTTGGGTAGCGGCATATCGCTTATGTCAAGTGTGTGCATTTCAATCTTCTCATTTGTAATACCACGACCTCTTCTCCGTTTTTTCTTTCTGTCAATTCCTTTCGGTCCTGGGCGTCTTGTCTCAGCCTGCAGTCTCCCTCTCCTTAGAATCAGTGTTAGCAAGGACTTGGGTAACGGCATATTGCTAATGTCAAGCCTGTTCAACCGCAGTACGGGTTGACGGCGCAGACAGGAAGCGGTCAAGCGGCTGGTTTTCAGCCCGCTGCGGGTCTGAGGGCAGAGAACAGCTTTATCTCTCCTGGTCTCTTTGATCATCTCTTTGTTTATTGTCTTGCGTTTAACGGTTATCTCAGTGGCATCCTCTATAGTCTTGACCTCTACCTCCACAGAAGCAGAAACAGCTGGTTGATTTACAGTCCAGACCCTACAATCTGCCATTCTGCAGTCCCAGCTCATCCCTGGTTCATCACATGGGAAAAGGGTTTGATATCCCTGCATGGTGGGATAGGACGGTTTCTCTGGGCCTGCTTGGTAAGAGGCAATTTCTTCCTTCACAGAGGAAGGGAAAGACAGTGAAGAGAGGATGTAGTCACCACCAGTGGACCTTAGAGCTAGAAAAGGAGAGAGACCATCACAGGTTAACATCAGCAATTACTGATCAATTATAAGTTATCTTAATTTCCTGCATTTCCACCGGTAAATATTGAAATATTAGGACAGCCGCGTTTTCTTTAACAAATAAAATAAATTCAGGCAAACAGGCAGGTAAATTATTTCCAAATCCTGTACCCCACCTACCATTGGTGTCTAAGTGATGTTCATTTTTATGGTGACGGAGGACTGCCTGTAATGGCTCAGGGTGAGCCACAGACTGCACACACTCCTCTAAGAGAGCAGGAGCAAGGCTAAGCCACGATGCAGTCTAAGAGATGGAGAAAGTTACAATTGTTACAAAACCAATTAACTAGCCTGCTAATATTGCTGCTCTCGCTAGGTCTAGGGGACTTAGGCCTATTTAACTGGTCTGTAACCGGATTTATGATGTGCATCTATGTGAGAAATCAGCGTATGAGGACCGTGTTGTATAATATAATAATAATAATAATATGTCATTTAGCAGTCATGCGTGCATACATTTTTTTTTTTGTGTATGGGTGGTCCCGGGGATCGAACCCACTACCTTAGCGTGACAAGCGCCGTGCTCTACCAGCTGAGCTACAGAGGACCATAGGAGACAGCAAATTTTACCGGGATCCACGACCTCTTGGTCGGACAGTCCAAGCAGATTAGTATTCGTTGTTCATAGTGACAAAATAAATGTTGAAAAATACTAAACTACAAAAAGGCATGCCAAACTAAAGATATTAACTGGCCACCTCTCCTCACTGAATGCCAATCAACCTGATTGCGCCCACCTGTGCACTTTATCAAGGCTTGACAGAGCACCTGGACCTGGTTGCTGCTGCCACCTGGGGAAGGAGTGTGGAAGTGGTAGTGTCTAATCCTGCTCCTAAGACCTAACTTACCTATAACCTATTCCATATCAAAATGGTGTTTCAAGGTTCTGTTTGGAATGAGAGGCACTTTGGGACACATTCTTTCCTGAAAGCCGCATTCATACTAGGGATGGGCGTGAGTACTAATCCAAGGAGTGTATTCGATTGCTAATAATCTAATACAAATACTTAAAACGTACAAAATTCTACTATTAAGCAGGTTAAATGTATAAGCACTGACAAAATTACAAACTCTAAGATGTGTCAATTGTTTGTGGAGTGTGTTAAGTGCAGTGAAAATATGTTAAATTTCCTTATCAGAACAACCAGAAATTAGAGCAACCGATAGCATACCATACTTGAGTACTCAAAAGATTATAATATGAGAGTACTCGAACACAGACATTCTTTCAAATGGCCATCCCTAATGCATACCTCAGATGATGTACAGAATAATAATACCTGTTTAAGGTTTGGAGCAGGAATCAGTTTCTCCAGTCTGGACAGGAACTCCCACACAAGAATCTGCAGTGTTGAGTCATACTTGGGGCCATACTCCTCTGGAAAAACATTCTAATAAACAGGACAATCAGATGACAGTAGAATGTACATACAGTGCCTTCAGAAAGTATTCACACCCCTTAACTTTTTCCAAATTTTGTTGTGTTACAGCATGAATTTTAAATTGATTAAATTGAGATTATGTTGTCACTGGTCTACACACAATACCCCATAATATTAAAGTGGAACTATTTATTTATTTGTACAAATTAATTAAAAATGAAAAGCTTAAATGTCTTGCATCAATAAGTAGTCAACCCCTTAGTTATGTCAAGCCTAAATAAGTTCAGAAGTAAAAATGTGCTTAACAAGTCACATAATAAGTTGCATGGACTCACTCTGTGTGCAATGTTAGTGTTTAACATGATTTTTGAATGACTACCTCATCTCTGTACCCAACACATACAATTATCTGTAAGGTACCTCAGTCAAGCAGTGAATTTCAAATACAGATTCAACCACAAAGACCAGGGAGGTTTTCCAATGCCTCGCAAAGGATGGCACCTATCGGTAGATGGGTAAAAATAAAAAAAGCAAACATTGAGTATCCCTTTGAGCATGGTGAAGTTATTAATTACACTTTGGATGGTGTATCAATACACCCAATCACTACAAAGATACAGACGTCCTTCCTAACTCAGTTGCCGGAGAGGAAGGAAACCGCTCAGGGATTTCACCATGAGGCCAATGGTGACTTTAAAACAGTTACAGAGTTTAATGGCTGTGATAAGAGAAAACTGCGGATGGACCAACAACATTGTAGTTACTCCACAATACTAACCTAATTGACAGAGGGAAAATAAGGAAGCCTGTACAGAATACAAATATTCCAAAACATGCATCCTGTTTGCAACAAGGCACTAAAGTAACACTGTAAAAATAATTGGCTTAGTAATTCACTTTTTGTCCTGAAAACAAAGTGTTACGTTTGGGGCAAATCCAATACAACACATTACCGAGTACCACTCTCTGTATTTTCAAGCATAGTGGTGGCTGCATCATGTTATGGGTATGCTTGTAATCGTTAAGGACTGGGGAGTTTTACAGGATAAAAAAGAAATGGAATGGAGCTAAGCACAGGCAAAATCCTAGAGGAAAACCTGGTTCAGTCTGCTTTCCACCAGACACTGGGAGATGAATTCACCTTTCAGCAGGACAATAACCTAAAACACAAGGTCAAATCTACACTGGACTTGCTTACCAAGAAGACAGTGAATGTTCCCAAGTGACCGAGTTACAGTTTGACTTAAATCTACTTGAAAATCTATGGCAAGACCTGAAAATGGTTGTCTAGCAATGATCAACAACCAATTTGACAGAGCTTAAAAATAAATAAATAAATTTTGCACAATCCAGTGGGCAAAACCTGGTTAAAAATACGTCAGTATGACTTATTTTTATGACGTCTTATTCTGGTCGAAACCGGTTGAAAAATGAAGTTTTTTTAATGTATTTTTATTGACCACCACATGACCAGTTGGTCATAACTGTGAACTCCATCTGACCAGCTGGTCATAATTCTGACCACTATATTATGTGCTTCTATATTATGTAGCCTACTGGTCATAACCTGGTAATGACCACCTGACTACAGCTTATTACCTACACTCTTAGAAAAAAGGATTCCAAATGGGTTATTCGGCTGTCCCCATAGGAGAAGTCTTTTTAGTTCCAGGGAGAAGCCTTTTTGGTTCCACATAGAACCCTTTTGGTTTCCATGTAGAACCCCCGGTGGAAAGGGTCCTACATTGAACCGAAAAGGGTTCTACCTGAAACCAAAAAGAGCTATTCAAAGGGTTATCCTATGGGAACTGCCGAATAACCCTTTTAGGTTCTAGATAGCACCTTTTTTTCTAAGAGTGTACTGTAAAAAGTATTGCAGAGGATAAAGTTGGATATTGAAAAAATTGCTCATTACATTTCTATTTATTTCCATAGTCACCAATTAAAGTTAATCTGCAACATATTCTTATATTTAAAATAGATCAAGCAATGGCAAAAACAAATCTACAATTTACAGTAATTGTTTCACAGACATTACAGTAATTGTCTCACAGACATTACATGTATAGTGATCCGTCATCCATACATATCAGTATGGATGACGGATCACCACCTCAAGCTGAACCCTGGCAAGACGGAGCTGCTCTTCCTCCCGGGGAAGGACTGCCCGTTCCATGATCTCGCCATCACGGTTGACAACTCCGCTGTGTCCTCCTCCCAGAGTGCGAAGAGCCTAGGCGTGACCCTGGACAACACCCTGTCGTTCTCCGCCAACATCAAGGCGGTGACCCGCTCCTGCAGGTTCATGCTCTACAACATTCGGAGAGTACGACCCTGCCTTACACAGGAAGCGGCACAGGTCCTAATCCAGGCACTTGTCATCTCCCGTCTGGACTACTGCAACTCGCTGTTGGCTGGCCTCCCTGCCTGTGCCATTAAACCCCTACAACTCATCCAGAATGCCGCAGCCCGTCTGGTGTTCAACCTTCCCAAGTTCTCTCACGTCACCCCCCTCCTCCGCACACTCCACTGGCTTCCAGTTGAAGCTCGCATCCGCTACAAGACCATGGTGCTTGCCTATGGAGCAGTGAGGGGAACGGCACCTCTGTACCTTCAGGCTCTGATCAGTCCCTACACCCAAACGAGGGCATTGCGCTCATCCACCTCTGGCCTGCTGGCTCCCCTTCCTCTGCGGAAGCATAGTTCCCGCTCAGCCCAGTCAAAAACTGTTCGCTGCTCTGGCACCCCAATGGTGGAACAAGCTCCCTCACGACGCCAGGACAGCGGAGTCACTCACCACCTTCCGGAGACATTTGAAACCCCACCTCTTTAAGGAATACCTGGGATAGGATAAAGGAATCCTTCTACCCCCCCCCCCCCAATTGTTAAAGTGGTTATCCCACTGGCTATAGGTGAACGCACCAATTTGTGAGTCGCTCTGGCTAAGAGCGTCTACTAAATGACGTTAATGTGCCCTTGAGCAAGGCACTTAACCCTAATTGCTCCTGTAAGTCGCTCTGGATAAGAGCGTCTGCTAAATGACTAAAATGTAAATGTAAATGTATGTATAGAAAGACTGGGACACGGAGTATATAAAGGCCCATTGTTTTATTTGATTAATGATTAATAAGAGTGGTGTGGTTGGGTAGATCCTCATCATGAAGCTCTGAGCACAGAAGCCAAACTGGAGCGTAGTGGCCCTCTTGAAGAGTCGTGTGATGGGTCAGATCTGCAGTTAAGACAATCAGCACATTACAACTTAATCAATTTGAGATTTTAAAAGCAAACTAGAAAATGACATTATTGAAGAAACTTTGTGGACTCAGCTGGCTAAAAGTATTTCCATGGTACTAGTTGAAGAAGTTTGTGACAGTTATAGCTTAGAGATGTCTTCAAAAAAGAGCAACTTGCTCATATACAGTGGGGGAAAAAAGTATTTAGTCAGCCACCAATTGTGCAAGTTCTCCCACTTAAAAAGATGAGAGAGGCCTGTAATTTTCATCATAGGTACACGTCAACTATGACAGACAAATTGAGAGAAAAAAATCCAGAAAATCACATTGTAGGATTTTTAATGAATTTATTTGCAAATTATGGTGGAAAATAAGTATTTGGTCAATAACAAAAGTTTCTCAATACTTTGTTATATACTCTTTGTTGGCAATGACACAGGTCAAATGTTTTCTGTAAGTCTTCACAAGGTTTTCACACACTGTTGCTGGTATTTTGGCCCATTCCTCCATGCAGATCTCCTCTAGAGCAGTGATGTTTTGGGGCTGTCGCTGGGCAACACAGACTTTCAACTCCCTCCAAAGATTTTCTATGGGGTTGAGATCTGGAGACTGGCTAGGCCACTCCAGGACCTTGAAATGCTTCTTACGAAGCCACTCCTTCGTTGCCCGGGCGGTGTGTTTGGGATCATTGTCATGCTGAAAGACCCAGCCACGTTTCATCTTCAATGCCCTTGCTGATGGAAGGAGGTTTTCACTCAAAATCTCACGATACATGGCCCCATTCATTCTTTCCTTTACACGGATCAGTCGTCCTGCCCCAAAGCATGATGTTTCCACCCCCATGCTTCACAGTAGGTATGCTGTTCTTTGGATGCAACTCAGCATTCTTTGTCCTCCAAACACGATGAGTTTAGTTTTTACCAAAAAGTTCTATTTTGGTTTCATCTGACCATATGACATTCTCCCAATCCTCTTCTGGATCATCCAAATGCACTCTAGCAAACTTCAGACGGGCCTGGACATGTACTGGCTTATGCAGGGGGTCACGTCTGGCACTGCAGGATTTGAGTCCCTGGCGGCGTAGTGTGTTACTGATGGTAGGCTTTGTTACTTTGGTCCCAGCTCTCTGCAGGTCATTCACTAGGTCCCCCCGTGTGGTTCTGGGATTTTTGCTCACCGTTCTTGTGATCATTTTGACCCCACGGGGTGAGATCTTGCGTGGAGCCCCAGATCGAGGGAGATTATCAGTGGTCTTGTATGTCTTCCATTTCCTAATAATTGCTCCCACAGTTGATTTCTTCAAACCAAGCTGCTTACCTATTGCAGATTCAGTCTTCCCAGCCTGGTGCAGGTCTACAATTTTGTTTCTGGTGTCCTTTGACAGCTCTTTGGTCTTGGCCATAGTGGAGTTTGGAGTGTGACTGTTTGAGGTTGTGGACAGGTGTCTTTTATACTGATAACAAGTTCAAACAGGTGCCATTAATACAGGTAACGAGTGGAGGACAGATGATCCTCTTAAAGAAGAAGTTACAGGTCTGTGAGAGCCAGAAATCTTGCTTGTTTGTAGGTGACCAAATACTTATTTTCCACCATAATTTGCAAATAAATTCATTAAAAATCCTACAATGTGATTTTCTGGATTTTTTTTCTCTCAATTTGTCTGTCATAGTTGACGTGTACCTATGATGAAAATTACAGGCCTCTCATCTTTTTAAGTGGGAGAACTTGCACAATTGGTGGCTGACTAAATACCCTTTTTCCCCCCACTGTACATACTTTGCGTCCTTCTCCACCACAGCGGTCATGGGAATATTTGAAGACTTTCCAGAGGGCCCGCAACACACCAACCTCCTGAGTTTTCTGGCTTTTCATGATACTTACGGTAAAAAGAGAAGAAAATGAATTAATGATTGGCATAATGTGGGCATGCAGGACACGACAGAAGAGTAACGCACAGTAAAATATCTTTAACAGTCAGAATCTACTAAAGGTGGTAGCAAAGGCATGTTTGCTCTTCTGTCCCCTCATATTGAAGTGGGACATTAATTCATTGGTCATCAATTTCAAACATTTTAAGAAGAGGATATCAAAAGTAGACTGTAGTTAGATAATTATCATTAACTCATCTCTAAAAATAGTAAAAAGTATGTGTAAAGAGGCAATAGAGACAAAATATTATCTTGTTCAAAAGTTCTGTCTGTCATATCATTCCTGCAACAAGCATTGTTAGAAATGGGTGTGATTCCAAATCTCTTCCTCTTCTATGCAACTGCGCACGTTTGAGTTTAAGTGAGCAAAACAGAAATGGGAGAAACTTTACATGACTCACCAAGGGAGTCAGCTTTACAAACTTATATTATTGCTATTAGTGCTACTTCAATTGGATCTACTTACACTACACTGAGAAAAAAGGGTTCCAAAAGGGTTCTTCGGCTGTCCCCATAGGATAACCCTTTTTGGTTCCATGTAGAACCATTTTTGGTTCCAGGTAGAACCCGTTTGGGTTCCATGTATAACTCTCTATGGAAAGGGTTCTACATGAAATCTATAATACTTCTACCTGGAACAAAAAAGGGTTCTTCAAAGGGTTCTCATATGGGGACAGCTGATGAACACTAAGGTTCTCAATACCACCTTTCTTTTCCTAAGAGTGTAAGATCAGGCAATAATGGGCAGCTAAATAGGCAGCTGAATAGCATGTCTCTTGGGGAATCCAGTCTCAGTGAGACCTGATGCAATGAAAAAAGTTAATGATCATCAGCATAGCTAGCACAAACCTAATCGTTACAAAGCTGGTTGGTAGGAATCAATACACACTGAAGATCAGAGTATCAAACCGGAAAAAACTAACATTTTGCACACTGTCAATTACTATTGATTTAAGGAGGGGTGGTTCTGCTCTCCCCTGGGATGTGGCAGAATAGGTCACTGGTAACTTGGTGGGTGGCCAAGCACTGCTGTAGAGGCCATGCATCAAGTCATTGACATGTTTCAGGAACTGTAAAGAAAAACAGATCATGATTAATCATTACCTAAGGTCTTTACAAAGTTAGACTTAGCCTAGCAAGTGCATTGACTTTGTTGCCCCTCAGCAGTCAGGCAGACAGACGGATAGAGATAGACAGCAAAACATAGGCTATTTGCATTCTTAGTCAGCAGACTGGATAACTTCTGTACTCCTCCTCTTTGTTCCCTCCTCCATCCTTCCATCCAAGCTAGAAGATTCCTGCAAAAAAAGAGAATCGAGAATTGAAAAAGACAGTTGAGAGGTGTAATGTTAGAATGAGTGTTGAGGGGGAGCAAAGACAGGCAAAATGTATCATATTGTCAAATACAAAATACACAAAAATACAAGGATCTCTGATGAATCAAGAAAGTCTAAACATCCATATTGGTGGTACATGTTTCACACACACACACACACACACACGTTTCCTATATGTGTATTCATGTACCATCTCTCGCTCTCACACAATGTTGACATGATGACAATGTTTTCCATAAGTTATTGCGATCATAATCATCATCTCTCCCCCCCTCACACAGAACACACACTCATAGCTAACATGACAAAGTTATCATAATCTCTCACACACACGCAGAGAACACACACACACACACGTTTACTATCATTAACTAAACAGATATCAAAATGTCAAAATGTTAGCTAGCTAGAACCAACGCCTACAAAATGTTAAATAAAAACTTACCATGTCCATGGAGATTAGCCAGAGAGCTAACGTTAGAATTAGCCAGCTAATTTAGCTAGCTAGCAAATCTTTCCTTGACGTTCTTCTCCCCAACAAACCACTGCTTTACTTACAAAAGTAAAACAAGACTGCAGGAGAACAGGGACTACCACTTAGCAGGCACATCTTTTAGATGTTGTTTGTCTACATTTCAAGAAAACTGTTGTTGTTTTCCCACTGTGTTGTTGTGTAGCCTAAAGGGCGCTCTGTCCCAACTAACATATGGAATGTTGACCTATGCGCTCGAGCAGGCTGCCTGCGCGCAGAGATCTATTGCTGTGCGTGAAGGATAGATTCCAATCCAAGTTTTAGCTGGAACTGATATGCCTACCTCCTAACTTAGCTACTGAAATTAAAATACAATTACTGCACACATTATGTTAATTGCTTAAAAGCTTTAAGGAAAAATATTATAGTCATATTTTCAGGGTCAAATTCAGGTGCAATCATTTTGGATTAATTATTGATGGAAATAAATGCGATAAAAATAGGGTTTTGTAAATCCTGGTGGATTGTAGTAGGATATTGAAATAAAAGACATAGGCCCACGTGTTATTTGTTAAATTCTGAAAACACATTTTGTTAGTCAAAATAGAACATCAAAACAGCATTCAGTGGAACAGAAGAAAATGTGCAGCACAATAAACAGTACAATTAGCTAACACAGACAAAAGACTACCATTAGAAAGCCAACACATACAGCAAGCTACCAGATATTACTAATTAAACAACCATTATTTCATTGTACCACAGTTTTACTGCATTATAACAGCAGTGACATTTTTTAAGGGTATCCTGTATTATTGTGCCTGTTTATCTTACATGCTGGTAGCCTAGAACAAATGTTATGGAAGTGAATGTGCACTTTTCAATTGGGTGGACTGCAACTACGAAAAACATAGCCTTCAATAAAAGCAAAAGCATTTAGAGTATCGGATATTCTCTCAATTAGGGACCATCTCTGATAGCTATAGGACCACAGAGACAGTAATACATTTGAGCTTTTAATGACCTAGCAAATTCAATGACTTGGAGGTGAAATTGATCACATTTCTTTGTTTTTGTAAATAGTTCATCACCTGCCGTATAAAAACCTCAAATGTCCCTACTCCTGAAAAAGTTAATCGGACCGGATAAGCTGAAGTAGACTTGGCTGAGTACTATTAGCCGGAGCCCAGAGTAATATGATTCTGCCGGACTCGGGAAGAGCTCGGCCCACATGAAGCCCCCCGAGACCGAGTCAATGCAGAGTCTCAAATGGAATAAGCCCGAGCCCATTGTGTTGACTGGGTACAGTATGCCACGAGACCCTAACCCGCTTTGGTGCGCTCTGCCAGCTGTTGTTTGCCAAGTGTGCTAAATTTTAATAATTGTAATGGTTCTACTGTCTTATATGCAATGAATGCATGGCCCACAAACACTATGCACATGTTTATATAGATTGGTTTCTATTAATTGAATAGCATTTAGATAACTGGTCAGTAGTTCAATCAGATTTAAACTTAAAACCTGATATTAACCAAAATAAGATGTATTTTTCATGACCTTCATCTGGTTATATGTCCAGACCAGATTTCAACCAGTAAAAGACGTCTTTATCACGTCGTATGCCCACTGGGTAGAGAATTACCCAGAAAGACTCACATTTACATTTAAAGCTACATTTACATTTTAGCAGACGCACTTATCCAGAGCGACTTACAGTTAGTGAGTGCATACATTTTCATACTGGCCCCCCGTGGGAATCGAACCCACAACCCTGGCGTTGCAAACGCCATGCTCTACCAACTGAGCTACACGGGACCTCACAGCTGTAATCGCTGCCAAAGGTGCTTCTACAAAGTATTGACTCAGGGGTGTGAATATGTATGTATTTCATTTTCAATACATTTGCAAACATTTCTAAAAACATGTTTTCACTTTGTCTTTATGGGGTATTGTGTGTAGATGGCTGAGAAAAAAACTACTATTTAATCAATTTTGAATTCAGGCTGTAACAACAAACTGTGGAATAGGCCAAGGGGTATGAATACTTTCTGAAGGCACTACATACAGAAATCGTGTATGAATAACATAAGCCTGGAAATACGGTTGTTGGTTTGCAATCTATGGCAAGAAAATGGGTTCCATTGAAAGGAAGGGCTCACTGATTATGATTCTCGCATCAGGTTGGACCTGGAAGCAGTGAAATGCAATCATGTCACTTTTTCCCCCAGCATGCTATGACACTGACCTGGAAGAAGAGTTCCCTCTCCTCTGGCTGCTCCAGCAGGGTTTCAATCAGCTTCATGAAGCTGGCCTCTGATGCTTCCACCTTTGGATCTGAAACCTGCAGAAATAATGCACAGTGGGTAAATAAAACTAGCCATAGGATAACAAGACTTCCAAAACACTGTGGATCTACTGTATATAGACATTTAGAAAATATACATACTGCCTTACATACTTAGCCTTTTGAGGCAAATGAGGGAATAAAACCCACATTATAAGCACCAAGTTCCATGTCACAAGGACCACACTACTACCAATAGAGCAATTAGAATCAAGGTTCCTTCTCTGAGCAGTCCTCACCTCTCCCTTCTGATTGGAGACACAGTTCCTTATCCTGTTCAGGTGTGGCTGGACGGTGTCAGGGCGACACAACTCATCATCACAGCGACACAACTCCAGAACCAGCTGTCAATCAAATGAGAATTGATCATAAATGGCAACAGGTGTGTATATGTGTGATCGTTGAGTTCAATGTTCAAGTAGGATGAGGTTGCACTTATCTAATGTAAATCTTGCGTTTTCCTAGGGCTGGCACGGTAATTGTATAATCGTGTAACAGACTATTATGGATGAAGACCGTCATGTAAATAAAATAACTATCATAAGCGTTTTAATAAAAAATAAAAACATTTTTATGTCGACAAACTTGACCTATATGCAGTCAAATAAAAGTAAGCGTGGATCACATCTAACAGCCGATATAAGGAAAGACGAGAGGGCACAAAACTAGCCGGTTTTAGAATGTTGTGTTGTGGAACAGATAGGGCAAGGGCAGATAGCCTAGTGGTTAAGAGTGGGGTCCAGCAACATTAAGGCAGTTATTTACAATTAAAAATACTACATTACATTTCATAACACTTTTCACAACACATTAAGTGTGTGCCCTCAGGCCACTACTCTACTACCACATATCTACAATACAAAATCCATGTGTACGAGTGTGTATAGTGCGTATGTTAGCATGTGTGTGTCTGTGCGTGTCTCTTCACAGTCCGCACTGTTCCATAAGGGTGGGTTTTTATCTGTATTTTTTAATAACAGAAAGGTTGCTGGTTTGAATCCCCCAGCTGACAAGGTGAAAAATCTGTCGATGTGCCCTGGAGCTAGGGCTGGGCTGAATACCGTATTTTACGATATACCGGTATTGATGCACGGACTGGTTTGGGTTTTTACTTTACCTTCTATAACGTTATTTGAATGTTTGCCTTGTTAAATGTGATAAGCAGTTTGTAACGTCCATTTTTATAGTTTACTTCGCTACTTGAGTCATCTCTCTCTACTCTCTCTCTATGCCGCTTTCCACACAGACCTAGCCTCGCCCCGTCACTCAAGGAGCGCATTTGTTGTTCCTCGACCACGAGACACTTGCATTCAGTCTACATGGTAAATTTACATTTACGTCATTTAGCAGACGCTCTTATCCAGAGCGACTTACAGTTAGTGAGTGCATACCATTTGTTATAACTGCTGCTCCAGGGCTATTGTATATACTGGAAACCCATCTTCTAAAAAAAGGACCAAAGCCAAATCTTTCCATTGTATATAATAAATATTTCCACTCTACTTGATCAAATGCTTTTTCAGCATCAAGTGATACATCTGGTACCTGCAACATCTTAGCTCTATGCACCATATTATAAAATGTCCTTGCATTATCGGAGCTATATCAATTTGAAATTAAACCAATCTGATCAGTTGAAATCAAAGGGTGAATAACTTTCCTAAGTCTGTTTGCTAATAATTTTGAAAGTATCTTAAAATCAACATTTAGTAAAGAGATTGGTCTATGGTCTGAGCATTGAGACAGGTCTTTTTCCCCTTTAGGAATGAGTGTGATAATTGCCTCAGCAGTAGTTCCATTCACAATATCATGATCCCCCCAAAGTATTATACAGTCTAAGCAGTATTGGTTAAAGTATAGTTACAAACTGCTTATACAATTCTGAGGTATAACCATCACTTCCTGGTGCCTTTAATTTTGGTATCTCGAAAATGCAGCACATGCAGCAATGTTGATGACAACTATGCTGTTTTCACTTTGCTTCTTAATATAAATCCACTAGCGTTCTATAATTACACTATTAGTTTGTGCTTATTACATCTGCAAACAGCTAGTTTGTCTTTGTTTAGCAAGTTTGGCCTACATCTTGTTAGCCGCTAATGCTAATTGCTAGCTAGCTAGCTAATAAATGAGTCAGAGCAAACGTAACTAGCTATGCAGCCTGATAATGCCAGTGAGGGTGTAGACCTACATCAGCATGTTGTTTGTGCAACAGTATCTTCTAAATCAAAGAAGAAAACGCAAAGCATGAATATGTTAGCTACATGAAGTAGCTAAGAGAAAACATTCAATGTAGACAAAGACTATAGGGTCCCCTAGGAAACACAACACTTTGTTTCCTACCCTGTCACAATAACTCCTCCCTGGCATTTTCATTCGTTGTCATGTCAAAGAACACTGTATTCAACGTGCCCACTATTATATTCTAACTATAGAATTAAAATAATCATTCTATTTCCATGATTTCAACAGTTCACCCAAGTGTTTTGCTCTAAAATCGCAAGTCAAATCGCAATTGCAACATTTGGTTAAAAATAAGGTCTAGATTGTTTGCCCATATCGTGCAGCCCTACATGGCATTCTGGAAATGATCTCAAATGAGTGAAGGAAATGCAAATATTTATGAAAATGCTGAAAGTGATTTTGGGTTGATGTTGAAATGAACAGTATAAAACAATCAGAATAGAGAAAGACCCATTGAAATCACTTATAATGTATGTGTTGCCACCCTAGGATCATGCACTACTCATTTTATAACTTGTATTATTCAAAAACATCAAATACCATCATACCGTAAAATATTTTTTAAATACCGTGATATATTTTGGCCATATCGCCCTGCCTTGAGCAAGACACTTAACCCTAATTGCTCCTGTAAGTCGCTCTGGATAAGAGCGTCTGCTAAATGACTAAAATGTAAATGTAAACGAAAAAACTGCTGACTGAGTGAAAATAGCCAGGCATTCAAATGAGATGTATGGTTGAGTACGTTTCCGCATTAACATGGACTCTTTACTACAGTTGAAGTCGGAAGTTTACAGAGAGGGAAAAAAGTATATGATTTTGTACGTTTGCCCACTGACAAAGACATGATCAGTCTATAATTTTAATGGTAGGTTTATTTGAACAGTGAGAGACAGAATAACAACAACAAAATCCAGAAAAACGCATGTCAAAAATGTTATCAATTGATTTGCATTTTAATGAGGGAAATAAGTATTTGACCCCTCTGCAAAACATGACTTAGTACTTGGTGGCAAAACCCTTGTTGGCAATCACAGAGGTCAGACGTTTCTTGTAGCTGGCCACCAGGTTTGCACACATCTCAGGAGGGATTTTGTCCCACTCCTCTTTGCAGATCTTCTCCAAGTCATTAAGGTTTCGAGCCTGACGTTTGGCAACTCGAACCTTCAGCTCCCTCCACAGATTTTCTATGGGATTAAGGTCTGGAGACTGGCTAGGCCACTCCAGGACCTTAATGTGCTTCTTCTTGAGCCACTCCTTTGTTGCCTTGGCCGTGTGTTTTGGGTCATTGTCATGCTGGAATACCCATCCACGACCCATTTTCAATGCCCTGGCTGAGGGAAGGAGGTTCTCACCCAAGATTTGACGGCACATGGCCCCATCCATCGTCCCTTTGATGCGGTGAAGTTGTCCTGTCCCCTTAGGAGAAAAACACCCCCAAAGCATAATGTTTCCACCTCCATGTTTGACGGTGGGGATGGTGTTCTTGGGGTCATAGGCAGCATTCCTCCTCCTCCAAACACGGCGAGTTGAGTTGATGCCAAAGAGCTCGATTTTGGTCTCATCTGACCACAACACTTTCACCCAGTTCTCCTCTGAATCATTCAGATGTTCATTGGCAAACTTCAGACGGGCCTGTATATGTGCTTTCTTGAGCAGGGGGACCTTTCAGTCCTTCACGGCGTAGTGTGTTACCAATTGTTTTCTTGGTGACTATGGTCCCAGCTGCCTTGAGATCATTTACAAGATCCTCCAGTGTAGTTCTGGGCTGATTCCTCACCGTTCTCATGATCATTGCAACTCCACGAGGTGAGATCTTGCATGGAGCCCCAGGCCGAGGGAGATTGACAGTTTTTTTGTGTTTCTTCCATTTGCGAATAATCACACCAACTGTTGTCACCTTCTCACCAAGCTGCTTGGCGATGGTCTTGTAGCCTATTCCAGCCTTGTGTAGGTCTACAATCATGTCCCTGACATTCTTGGAGAGCTCATTTGGTCTTGGCCATGGTGGAGAGTGGAATCTGATTGATTGCTTCTGTGGACAGGTGTCTTTTATACAGGTAACAAATTGAGATTAGGAGCACTCTCTTTAAGAGTGTGCTCCTAATCTCAGCTCGTTACCTGTATAAAAAACACCTGGGAGCCAGGATTCTTTCTGATTGAGAGGGGGTCAAATACTTATTTCCCTCATTAAAATGCAAATCAATTTATAACATTTTTGACATGTGTTTCTCTGGATTTTTTTGTCGTTATTCTGTCTCTCACTGTTCAAATAAGCCTACCATTAAAATTATAGACTGATCATTTCTTTGTCAGTGGGCAAACGTACAAAATCAGCAGGGGATCAAAAACTTTTTTCCCTCACTGTACATACACCTTAGCCAAATACATTTAAACTCAGATTTTCACAATTCCTGACCTTTAATTCCCTGTCTTAGGTCAGTTAGGATCACCACTTTATTTTAATAATGTGAAATGTCAGAATAATAGTAGAGAGAATGATTTATTTCAGCTTTTATTTCTTTCATCACGTTCCCAGTGGGTCAGAAGTTTACAAACACTCAATTAGTATTTGGTAGCATTGCCTTTAAATTGTTTAACTTGGGTGAAACGTTTCGGGTAGCCTTCCACAAGCTTCCCACAATAAGTTGGGTGAATTTTGGCCCATTCCTCATGACAGAGCTGGTGTATCTGAGTCAGGTTTGTAGGCCTCCTTGCTCGCACACACTTTTTCAGTTCTGCCCACAAATGTTCTATAGGATTGAGGTCAGGGCTTTGTGATGGCCACTCCAATACCTTGACTTTGTTGTCCTTAAGCCATTTTGCCACAACTTTGGAAGTATGCTTGGGGTCATTGTCCATTTGGAAGACCCATTTGCGACCAAGCTTTAACTTCCTGACTGATGTCTTGAGATGTTGCTTCAATATATCCACATAATTTTCCTTCCTCATGATGCCATCTATTTTGTGAAGTGCACCAGTCCCTCTTGCAGCAAAGCACCCGCACAGTATGATACTGCCACCCCCGTGCTTGACGATTGGGATGGTGTTCTTTGGCTTGCAAGCCACCCCCTTTTTCCTCTAAACATCATGATGGTCATTATGGCCAAACAGTTCTATTTTTGTTTCATAAGACCAGAGGACATTTATCCAAAAAGTACGGTCTTTGTCCCCATGTGCAGTTGCAAACCGTAGTCTGGCTTTTTTATGGCGGTTTTGGAGCAGTGGCTTCTTCCTTGCTGAGCGGCCTTTCAGGTTATGTCGATATAGGACTCGTTTTACTGTGGATTTAGATACTTTTGTACCTGTTTCCTCCAGCATCTTCACAACGTCCTTTGCTGTTGTTCTGGGATTGATTTTCACTTTTCGCACCAAAGTACGTTCATCTCTAGGAGACAGAACGTGTCTCCTTCCTGAGCGGTATGACAGCTGCGTGGTCCCATGGTGTTTATACTTGCGTACTATTGTTTGTACAGATGAACGTGGTACCTTCAGGCGTTTGGAAATTGCTTCCAAGGATGAAAGAGACTTGTGGAGGTCTACAATATATTTTCTGAGGTATTGGCTGATTGCTTTTGATTTTCCCATGATGTCAAGCAAAGAGGCACTGAGTTTGAAGGTAGGCCTTGAAATACATCCACAGGTACACCTCCAATTGACTCATATGATGTCAATTAGCCTATCAGAAGCTTCTAAAGCCATGACATCATTTTCTGGAATTTTCCAAGCTGTTTAAAGGCACAGTCAACTTAGTGTATGTAAACTTCTGACCCACTGGAATTGTGATACAGTGAATTATAAGTGAAATAATCTGTCTGTAAACACTTGTTGGAAAAATTACTTGTGTCATGCACAAAGTACAGTGGGGAGAACAAGTATTTGATACACTGCCGATTTTGCAGGTTTTCTTACTTACAAAGCATGTAGACGTCTGTAATTTTTATCATAGGTACACTTCAACTGTGAGAGACGGAATCTAGAAAATCCAGAAAATCACATTGTATGATTTTTAAGGAATTAATTTGCATTTTATTTGCATGACATAAGTATTTGATACATCAGAAAAGCAGAACTTAATATTTGGAACAGAAACCTTTGTTTGCAATTACAGAGATCATACGTTTCCTGTAGGTCTTGACCAGGTTTGCACACACTGCAGCAGGGATTTTGGCCCACTCCTCCATACAGACCTTCTCCAGATCTTTCAGGTTTCAGGGCTGTCGCTGGGCAATACGGACTTTTAGCTCCCTCCAAATATTTTCTATTGGGTTCAGGTCTGGAGACTGGCTAGGCCACTCCAGGACCTTGAGATGCTTCTTACGGAGCAACTCCTTAGTTGCCCTGGCTGTGCAGGATTTTAATCCATGACGGCGTAGTGTGTTACTAATGGTTTTCTTTGAGACTGTGGTCCCAGCTCTCTTCAGGTCATTTACCAGGTCCTGCCGTGTAGTTCTGGGCTGATCCCTCACCTTCCTCATGATCATTGATGCCCCACGAGGTGAGATCTTGCATGGAGCCCCAGACCGAGGGTGATTGACCGTCATCTTGAACTTCTTCCATTTTCTAATAATTGCGCCAACAGTTGTTGCCTTCTCACCAAGCTGCTTGCCTATTGTCCTGTAGCCCATCCCAGCCTTGTGCAGGTCTACAATTTTATCCCTGATGTCCTTACACAGCTCTCTGGTCTTGGCCATTGTGGAGAGGTTGGAGTCTGTTTGATTGAGTGTGTGGACAGGTGTCTTTTATACAGTTAACGAGTTCAAACAGGTGCAGTTAATACAGGTAATGAGTGGAGAACAGGAGGGCTTCTTAAAGAAAAACTAACAGGTCTGCGAGAGCCGGAATTCTTACTGGTTGGTAGGTGATCAAATGCTTATGTCAAGCAATAAAATGCAAATGAATTACTTAAAAATCATACAATGTGATTTTCTGGATTTTTGTTTTAGATTCCGTCTCACAGTTGAAGTGTACCTATGATCAAAATTACAGACCTCTACATGCTTTGTAAGTAGGAAAACCTGCAAAATCGTCAGTGTACCAAATACTTGTTCTCCCCACTGTAGATGTCCTAATCGACTTGCCAAAACTATAGTTTGTTAACAAGAAATGTGTGGAGTGGTTGAAAAACGAGTTTTAATGACTCCAACCTAAGTGTATGTAAACTTTGACTTCAACTGTACGTGATTAAACTTTGTTGCTCCTTGTTGTAGCAAATGAGTATCATGAAATACATGCACCCATTGGCTTACCAAAAACAGGGCACACTGTGACTTGACAGAAATGTCAGCAAGTTAGGTTAGCTAACTCCAGCTAGCTAGCCCTCCGCTAGCCCAAACTTAGACCCCTTTAACAATGATTTCATTTAGTAATAAGACGGGGTCTAATGGAACACGTGCTGCTACACCGGTACAGATTTGGTCTTGACTTATCGCGAACGCATTCGGTTGGTCTACAGTTCTTCTTAAAAGGTCATCCCTTAAATCCCTGAGCGGTGCCCAGGAAATAATTAAATAAAATGTTTAGATGCTAACACCCCCCTTCAAATCAAAACCAAACATGGATGTCAATGTTTGCACGCACACGCTACATTCAACTTCTTGTCTGCGTCGTGTCTGCGGCAGCATGTGCCCGTATAGCGAGGCTGATTAGCTAGGACAAAAAGGTGTGAAACAGACAGGGGTGTATCCATTAGTCGGATTCTGTTGCAAAACATTTTCTCTGTACCAAAACATTTTCAATGGAAACCGTTTACTCCAATGTAAAATGGTTTACGAGAGACAAATTCAGGTAGGTCCCTCCCAGTTTCATTATGTTTGCTCTGTTTGGTTCCTAGAGAAAACGGTAAACGGTTTCCGTTGCAAAACTGCTATACATGCAAAGCCACAACACAACATGGAATCCATATTTGGTATTGATTTGGAAGGGGGTGGTATCTTCTAAAAATGTGATTTAATTATTTCCTGGGCACTGCTCAGCGGTGCAAACAACAACCTTCTAATAAGAACCGTCCACCGACCACGGATATTCAGTGCATTCGGAAAGTATTCAGACCCCTTGACTTTTTCCACATTTTGGCTACAAGCCACTCCTGCATTGTCTTGGCTGTGTGCTTAGGGTCGTTGTCCTGTTGGAAGGTGAACCTTCGCCCCAGTATGAGGTCCCGAGCACTCTGGAGCAGGTTTTCATCAAGGATCTCTCTGTACTTTGCTCCGTTCATCTTTCCCTCGATCCTGACTAGTCTCCTAGTCCCTGCCGCTGAAAAACATCCCCACAGCAAGATGCTGCCACCACCATGCTACTCCGTAGGGATGGTGCCTGGATTCCTCCAGACATGACTCTTGGCATTAAGGCCAAAGAGTTCAATCTTGGTTTCATCAGACCAGATAATCTTGTTTCTCATGGTCAGAGAGTCCTTTACATGCCTTTTGGCAAACTCCAAGTGGGCTGTCGTGTGCCTTTTACTGAGGAGTGGTTTCTGTCTGGCCACTCTACCATAAAGGCCTGATTGGTGGAGTACTGCAGAGATTGTTGTCCTTCTGGAAGGTTCTCCCATCTCCACAGAGGAACTCTAGAGCTCTGTCAGAGTGACCATCGGGTTCTTGGTCACCTCCCTGACTAAGGCCCTTCTCCCCCGATTGCTCAGTTTGGCCGGGCGGCCAGCTCTAGGAAGAGTCTTGATGGTTCCAAACTTCTTCCATTTAAGAATGATGGAGGCCACTGTGTTCTTGGGGACCTTCAATGCTGCAGAATTGTTTTGGTACCCTTCCCCAGACATGTGCCTCAACACAATCCTGTCTCGGAGCTCTACGGACAATTCCTTCGACCTCATGGCTTGATTTTTGCTCTGACATGCACTGTCAACTGTGGGACCATATATAAACAGGTGTGTGCCTTTCCAAATCATGTCCAATCAATTCAATTTACCACAGGTGGACTCCTATCAAGTTGTGGAAACATATCAAAGATGATCAATGGAAACAGGATGCACCCGAGCTCAATTCCGAGTCTCATAGCAAAGGATCTGAATACTTACGTAAATAAGGTATGTCTTTTTTTTTTTTTTTGCAAAAATATCTAAAAACCTGTTTTCACTTTGTCATTATGGGGTATTGTGTGTAGATTGATTGTTATGTATTTAATCTGTTTTAGAATAAGGCTGTAACGTAACACAATGTGGAAAAAGGGAAGGGGTCTGAATACTTTCCGAATGCACTGTAGGCTCGTACGTGAGAAAATTGTCGCCAAACAGGCACAGGCACGAGTTCGGCAAATAACTCGCTAGGTGGGTTAGTGTTATACTGCTAGACGGAGATACATTAAACTGTACAGCTTGGCTAAACAGTAAAGACAGAACAGCCTAGGAGCACATGCAGTGTCAGGAGTGGACGAAGAGAAAAATTGCAGGAGTCTTTTGCTTTTCGAATGGTTATAACGGTGACGGAGGTCATTTGGCTGACAAATAACCTTCATACAAAACTCCATGACCGTCACAGCCCTACGTTTTCCTTCCATAATGGTTCACTTCAGGAAGTTACACTGATCCTAGATCTGTGCCTAGCGGCAACTCCTTTCCCTCCTGTCACCCCGACTCACCCGTGCTCTCAGTCCCATGAGGAGTTGGACCCTCTCTCTGTAAGTCATCAGATCAGGGACTATTTCCAACACGCTGGTGGCAAACTCTTCCAGCAGCCCATAGTCCATGACGTCTCTCCGCTCTACAACCTGCCACAGAGCAGCACACACCAGCCGCAGCGGAGGAACAAAAAGACGCAGAGACGACAGCGGAAGAGGAGGACCTAGAAGAGAAAATGAAACATTTGAATGAAAAAACAAGCTAGCTACTATAACTTGAGGGGCCGTATTTTATATAATGTAACAACCCTTTTTGCTCTTGTTCACTCCCCTTTCCAGAGGGGTATACTACAAAGCAGAATCAATGAGTTAGCCAGCTAACTTGCCTAAATATTCCTTAATAACATTACATTTTTTAGAAAGATAAGCTTGAAATGGCCATGTCTAATTAACTCAACAAACCAAAAATATATACAGTGGGGAGAACAAGTATTTGATACACTGCCGATTTTGCAGGTTCTCTTACTTACAAAGCATGTAGAGGTCTGTAATTTTTATCATAGGTACACTTCAACTGTGAGAGACGGAATCTAAAACAAAAATCCAGAAAATCACATTGTATGATTTTTAAGGAATTAATTTGCATTTTATTTGCATGACATAAGTATTTGATACATCAGAAAAGCAGAACTTAATATTTGGAACAGAAACCTTTGTTTGCAATTACAGAGATCATACGTTTCCTGTAGGTCTTGACCAGGTTTGCACACACTGCAGCAGGGATTTTGGCCCACTCCTCCATACAGACCTTCTCCAGATCTTTCAGGTTTCAGGGCTGTCGCTGGGCAATACGGACTTTCAGCTCCCTCCAAAGATTTTCTATTGGGTTCAGGTCTGGAGACTGGCTAGGCCACTCCAGGACCTTGAGATGCTTCTTACGGAGCAACTCCTTAGTTGCCCTGGCTGTGTGTTTCGGGTCGTTGTCATGCTGGAAGACCCAGCCACGACCCATCTTCAATGCTCTTACTGAGGGAAGGAGGTTGTTGGCCAAGATCTCGCGATACATGGCCCCATCCATCCTCCCCTCAATACGGTGCAGTCGTCCTGTCCCCTTTGCAGAAAAGCATCCCCAAAGAATGATGTTTCCACCTCCATGCTTCACGGTTGGGATGGTGTTCTTGGGGTTGTACTCATCCTTCTTCTTCCTCCAAACACGGCGAGTGGAGTTTAGACCAAAAAGCTCTTATTTTTGTCTCATCAGACCACATGACCTTCTCCCATTCCTCCTCTGGATCATCCAGATGGTCATTGGCAAACTTCAGACGGGCCTGGACATGCGCTGGCTTGAGCAGGGGGACCTTGTGTGCGCTGCAGGATTTTAATCCATGACGGCGTAGTGTGTTACTAATGGTTTTCTTTGAGACTGTGGTCCCAGCTCTCTTCAGGTCATTGACCAGGTCCTGCCGTGTAGTTCTGGGCTGATCCCTCACCTTCCTCATGATCATTGATGCCCCACGAGGTGAGATCTTGCATGGAGCCCCAGACCGAGGGTGATTGACCGTCATCTTGAACTTCTTCCATTTTCTAATAATTGCGCCAACAGTTGTTGCCTTCTCACCAAGCTGCTTGCCTATTGTCCTGTAGCCCATCCCAGCCTTGTGCAGGTCTACAATTTTATCCCTGATGTCCTTACACAGCTCTCTGGTCTTGGCCATTGTGGAGAGGTTGGAGTCTGTTTGATTGAGTGTGTGGACAGGTGTCTTTTATACAGGTAACGAGTTCAAACAGGTGCAGTTAATACAGGTAATGAGTGGAGAACAGGAGGGCTTAAAGAAAAACTAACAGGTCTGCGAGAGCCGGAATTCTTACTGGTTGGTAGGTGATCAAATACTTATGTCATGCAATAAAATGCAAATTAATTACTTAAAAATCATACAATGTGATTTTCTGGATTTTTGTTTTAGATTCCGTCTCTCACAGTTGAAGTGTACCTATGATAAAAATTACAGACCTCTACATGCTTTGTAAGTAGGAAAACCTGCAAAATTGGCAGTGTATCAAATACTTGTTCTCCCCACTGTAGAAGGACTGAGAAGCTCAGTTCTGGTGACTTTTTTAAAATACATTCTACTCCAAAATATGATTTTCACCTCCAGAAATGAGCCCAACAACATATTGGTAAAAATAATATACAAATTATTTTAACATATTGGATCATGCATGTAACCTATGCATGGTCTGCATCAGGGGTATTCAACTCATAACCTACGAGGTCCGGAGCCTGCTGGTTTTCTTTTCTACCTGATAATTAATTGCACACCTGGTGTCCCAGGTCTAAATCATTCCCTGATTAGAGGAGAACAATGAAAAAAAATGCAGTGGAACTGGCTTCGAGGTCCAGAGTTGAGTTTGAGGGGTCTACCTTATCAGATGTCCTATTAGCAGTAAGCATTATCACCTCTAGCCCAACTGATGCAGCATAGTGGCTATAAAATGTACATAGGCTGAAGCATGGGGTTTGTCCATCTGCATTTACCCCATTGGACACAACATCCTGATTGTCATTATTATTTATTATAAATATGAATCTATAGCTTATTAATTATTATTCACTCTAAAAATGAGATTATTTTGGTTTCTATTACAGTGTTGTTGCTCTTTTAAGACATTGCCCCTATAAGCGCCCTGTTGTGCAGCTGCGCCTAAACCATGCTTGAAACCGGTTGTAAAACTGCATTTGTAAAATGATTGAAGGAGTAGAGAATTAAACATGGTAGCAATGGAAAACTGGGATCCCCCTCTTTAAAACATTTGCCAAAACAATGTTGTGCAATTACTTTTTGTCAGAATACATGTTTCCCTCCTATGGCTCTCGCAACTTGAATGCGCCTCGAGAGGAATATTTATAACAATAACAATAGGCCGACTAGGTAAATAGGTAACGTATTCTACTATAGGGTTGTCTGATTGTTTTAATAACAACATTACATGGCAAAAATAGTAGAACTGGAAAGTTCCATTCTGAGTGATAAAGTATAGTCTTTGAATTACTTTACCAGCAGCTACAGTAGGCTACACACCGTTGTCTGAGTTGAGCAATGCGGTGGTGCGCATTATAGACTACAGTGGCTTGCGAAAGTATTCACCCCCTTCGCATTTTTTCCTATTTTGTTGCCTTACAACCTGGAATTAAAATGGATTTTTGGGGGGTTTGTATCATTTGATTTACACAACATGCCTACCACTTTGAAGATGCAAAAATATGTTATCTTGTGAAACAAACAAGAAATAAGACAAAAAACCAGAAAACTTCAGCGTGAAAAACTATTCACCCCCCCAAAGTCAATACTTTGTAGAGCCACCTTTTGCAGCAATTACAGCTTGGGGTATGTCTCTATAAGCTTGGCACATCTAGCCACTGGGATTTTTGCCCATTCTTCAATGCAAAACTGCTCCAGCTCTTTCAAGTTGGATGGGTTCCGCTGGTGTACAGCAATCTTTAAGTCATACCACAGATTCTCAATTGGATTGAGGTCTGGGCTTTGACTAGGCCATTCCAAGACATTTAAATGTTTCCCCTTAACCTACTTGAGTGTTGCTTTAGCAGTATGCTTAGGGTCATTGTCCTGCTGGAAGGTGAACCTCCGTCCCAGTCTCAAATCTCTGGAAGACTGAAACAGGTTTCCCTCAAGAATTTCCCTGTATTTAGGTCAGAAGTTTACATACACCAAGTTGACTGTGACTTTAAACAGCTTGGAAAATTCCAGAAAATGATGTCATGGCTTTAGAAGCTTCTGATAGGCTAATTAACATAATTTGAGTCAATTGGAGGTGTACCTGTGGATGTATTTCAAGGCCTACCTTCAAACTCAGTGCCTCTTTGCTTGACATCATGGGAAATTCAAAAGAAATCAGCCAAGACCTCAGAAAAAAAGTTGTAGACCTCCACAAGTCTGGTTCATCCTTGGGAGCAATTTCCAAACGCCTGAAGGTACCACGTTCATCTGTACAAACAACAGTACGCAAGTATAAACACCATGGGACCATGCAGCCGTCATACCGCTCAGGAAGGAGACGCATTCTGTCTCCTAGAGATGAACGTACTTTGGTGCGAAAAGTGCAAATCAATCCCAGAACAACAGCAAAGGACCTTATGAAGATGCTGGAGGAAAAAGGTACACAAGTATCTATATCCACAGTAAAACGAGTCCTATATTGACATAAGGCCACTCAGCAAGGAAGAAGCCACTGCTCCAAAACCGCCATAAAAAAGCCAGACTACGGTTTGCAACTGCACATGGGGACAAAGATCGTACTTTTTGGAGAAATGTCCTCTGGTCTGATGAAACAAAAATATAAAATACATCTTGTACTCCAAGATGGCGTAGTAGTGCGGTCGTGTATTGTGTTGTGTCCTCGTGTAAATAGCCTGTTTCTTTTGTTTTTTGTCTTTCATTCGTATACAGTGAGGGAAAAAAGTATTTGATCCCTTGCTGATTTTGTACGTTTGCCCACTGACAAAGAAATAATCAGTCTATAATTGTAATGGTAGGTTTATTTGAACAGTGAGAGACAGACTAACAACAACAAAATCCAGAAAATCCAGTATGTCAAAAATGTTATCAATTGATTTGTATTTTAATTAGGGAAATAAGTATTTGACCCCCTCTCAATCAGAAAGATTTCTGGCTCCCAGGTGTCTTTTATACAGGTAACGAGCTGAGAATAGGAGCACACTCTTAAAGGGAGTGCTCCTAATCTCAGCTTGTTACCTGTATAAAAGACACCTGTCCACAGAAGCAATCAATCAATCAGATTCCAAACTCTCCAACATGGCCCAGACCAAAGAGCTCTCCAAGGATGTCAGGGACAAGATTGTAGACCTACACAAGGCTGGAATGGGCTACAAGACCATCGCCAAGCAGCTTGGTGAGAAGGTGACAACAGTTGGTGCGATTATTCGCAAATGGAAGAAACACAAAAGAACTGTCAATCTCCCTCGGCCTGGGGCTCCACGCAAGATGTCACCTCGTGGAGTTGCAATGATCATGAGAACGGTGAGGAATCAGCTCAGAACTACACAGGATGATCTTGTCAATGATCTCAAGGCAGCTGGGACATTAGTCACCAAGAAAACAATTGGTAACACACTACGCCGTGAAGGACTGAAATCCTGCAGCGCCCCCAAGGTCCCCCTGCTCAAGAAAGCACATATACAGGGCCGTCTGAAGTTTGCCAAGGAGAACTGGGTGAAAGTGTAAAATTGAGCTCTTTGGCATCAACTCAACTCGCCGTGTTTGAAGGAGGAGGAATGCTGCCTATGACCCCAAGAACACCATCCCCACCGTCAAACATGGAGGTGGAAACATTATGCTTTGGGGGTGTTTTTCTGCTAAGGGGACAGGACAACGTCACCGTATCAAAGGGACGATGGACGAAAACACACGGCCAAGGCAACAAAGGAGTGGCTCAAGAAGAAGCACATTAAGGTCCTGGAGTGGCCTAGCCAGTCTCCAGACCTTAATCCCATAGAAAATATGTGGAGGGAGCTGAAGGTTCAAGTTGCCAAACGTCAGGCTCGAAACCTTAATGACTTGGAGAAGATCTGCAAAGAGGAGTGGGACAAAATCCCTCCTGAGATGTGTGCAAACCTAGTGGCCAACTACAAGAAACGTCTGACCTCTGTGATTGCCAACAAGGGTTTTGCCACCAAGTACTAAGTCATGTTTTGCAGAGGGGTCAAATACTTATTTCCCTCATTAAAATGCAAATCAATTTATAACATTTTTGACATGCGTTTTTCTGGATTTTGTTGTTGTTATTCTGTCTCTCACTGTTCAAATAAACCTACGATTAAAATTATAGACTGAGCATGTCTTTGTCAGTGGGCAAACGTACAAAATCAGCAGGGGATCAAATACTTTTTTCCCTCACTGTATATTTCTCTATCTCACTTTACATCCTTTAATCTAAATATGCTTTCCTGCAACCCGCCTCACCCAATGTGGAACGGAATCTATTATTTCTTTATTTTTATCAAGAACCTACGGCTGAAACTAGCCAGCTAACTAGCTACTTGCTATTAGCCACAGTTAGCGGTCTTCACCACTGTCCGTGGCCTGCACTACCTACCAGCCAGCTCTAGCCTGGACAATTATCGGCCAGTCTGCACAGCGTGCTATCGACCCAGAGCATATCGGATTTTCTGCCAGAATCACTGGACCTTAACACCGGACCATCGCAACTAGCTAGCTGCAACCGAATGGCTGTTGTTGGCTAATATCCACTTCCCAACGTACCAGTTAGCCTTGAGCTAGCCTCGAGCTAGGCCCATCTCCCAGCTATCTACCTCTCTGTCAACCGGACGGGACCTCCTAGTGTCGACACGGAGCCCTGTCGATCCATCACGTCTGGTCTGCCGACGTAATCGTCTGATGTGCTTTCAACAGGCTTCCCTTTGCGACGACCACGAATATCCATCTGCTAGCCCCGGCCCGCTAGCACGCGCAATCAACAGCCGTGCCTTCTGCTCGCCTGTGCTTTAGCAGCCTACAATCTGCTCCCGGACTTACTTAGTGCTGTTCACTGGACCTTATGATCACACAGCTACACAGCTAATGCCTGCTGGACTGTTCCTTTACACGGTACCCCATCCTGTTTTTCTGTTTAGCCTCAGCCCAAACTTTCGTCGCCATTACCAGTTGTTGTCTTAGCCCTCTCGAATAACACCTGTGATTGTGTTATGCCTCTCTGCCACAACGCACTAGAAGAACAGTTCTTAAAGCCTTTAGCCGTATCCTTAATCTATTCCTCCTCTGTTCCTCTGGTGATGTAGAGGTTATCCCAGGTCCTGTAGCCCCCAGTATCACTCCTAACTCCCAGGCGCTATCATTTGTTGACTTCTGTAACCGTAAAAGCCTTGGTTTCTTGCATGTTAACATCAGAAGTCTCCTCCCCAACTTTGAGTTATTCACTGCGTTAGCACACTCTGCCAACCCTGATGTTCTAGCAGTGTATGAATCTTGGCATAGGAAGGCCACCAAAAATTCAGAGATGTCTATCCCGAACTACAACATTTTCCGTCTAGATAGAACTGCCAAAGGGGGCGGAGTTGCAATCTACTGTAGAGATAGCATGTAGAGCTCTATCATACTACCCAGGTCTGTGCCCAAACAGTTTGAGCTTCTACTTCTAAAGATCCACCTTTCCAGAAATAAGTCTCTCACTGTTGCCGCTTGCTACAGACCCCCCTCAGCCCCCAGTTGTGCCCTGGACACCATATGTGAATTGCTTGCCCCCCCATCTAACCTCAAGAGTTCGTACTGCTTGGTGACCTAAACTGGGATATGCTTAACACCCCGGCCTTCCTACAATCTAAACTAGATGCCCTCAATCTCACACAAATTATCAAGGAACCTACCAGGTACAACCCTAAATCCGTATACATGGGCACCCTCATAGATATCATCCTGACTAATTTACCCTCTAAATACACCTCCGCTGTCTTCAACCAGGATCTCAGCGATCACTGCCTCATTGCCTGCGTCAGTAATGGGTCCGCGGTCAAACGACCACCCCTCATCACTGTCAAACGCTCCCTAAAACACTTCAGCGAGCAGGCCTTTCTAATTGACCTGGCCCGGGTATCCTGGATGGATATTGACCTCATTCCGTCAGTAGAGGATGCCTGGATGTTCTTCAAAAGTAAACATGCCCCTGCACTGCTCCGAGACCTATGCTGTCACCATGGTTACCATCGACAGGGGCTGCCATAGCGACCCCAGCCCTGATGTTAAACTCAGAACAGGTGAGAAGAGAGAGAGTCTGTCTGATCTGTCTGTTATGAATATCTTGTAGATCTAGAATTAAATTACATCCGTTATATTAAGAAAACCTTAAATAAGCAAACACCATTCAAAAAATGCAGAACTAAGAACAGATATAGCCCCTGGTTTACCCCAGACTTGACTGCCCTTGACCAGCACAAAAACATCCTGTGGTGTACTGCATAAGCATCGAAAAGCCCCCGCGATATCCAACTTTTCAGGGAAGTCAGGAACCAATATACACAATCAGTTAGGAAAGCAAAGGCTAGCTTTTTCAAACAGAAATTTGCATCCTGTAGCACTAACTCCAAAAGGTTTTGGGACACTGTAAAGTCCATGGAGAATAAGAGCACCTCCTCCCAGCTACCCACTGCACTGAGGCTAGGAAACACTATCACCACCGATAAATCTACGATAATCGAGAATTTCAACAAGCATTTTGCTACGGCTGGCCATGCTTTCCACCTGGCTACCCCTACCCCGGCTACCAGCTCTGCACCCTCTGCTGCAACTTCCCATGCCCCCCCGCTTCTCCTTCACCCAAATTCAGATAGCTGATGTCCTGAAAGAGCTGCTCAATCTGGACCCCTACAAATCAGCTGGCCTAGACAATCTGGACCCTTTCTTTCTCAAATTAGCCTCCGAAATTGTCGCAACCCTTATTACTAGCCTGTTCAACCTCTCTTTTGTATCGTCTGAGATCCCCAGAGATTGGAAACCTGCCACGGTACGTGACACTCTAGATCCAAACTGTTACAGACCTATATCCATCCTGCCCTGCCTTTCGAAAGTATTTGAAAGCCTAGTTAACAAACAGCTCACTGACCATTTCGAATCCCACGTACCTTCTCCGCTATGCAATCTGGTTTCCGAGCTGGTCATGGGTGCAACTCAGCCACGCTCAAGGTCCTAAACGATATAATAACCGCGATCGATAAAAGACAGTACTGTGCAACCGTCTTCATCGACCTGGCGAAGGCTTATGACTCTGTCAATCACTGCATTCTTATTGGCAGACTAAATAGCCTTGGTTTCTCAAATGACTGCCTCGCCTGGTTCACCAACTACTTCTCAGATAGAGTTCAAAGTGTCAAATCAGAGGGCCTGTTGTCTGGACCTCTGGCAGTCTCTATGGGGGTGCCACTGGGTTCAATTCTCGGGCAGACTCTATTCTCTGTGTATATCAATGATGTCGCTCTTGCTGCTGAGGACTCTCAGATCCACCTCTACGCAGACGACACCATTTTGTATACATCTGGCCCTTCATTGGACACTGTGTTAACAAACCTCCAAACAAGCTTCAATGCCATACAACACTCCTTCCGTGGCCTCCAACTGCTCTTAAAACGCTAGTAAAACTAAATGCATGCTCTTCAATCGAACGCTGCTGCACCCGCCCGCCCGACTAGAATCACTACTCTCGGCGGGTCTGACTTAGAATATGTGGACAACTACAAATACCTAGGTGTCTGGTTAGACCGTAAACTCTCCTTCCAGACTCACATTAAGCATCTCCAATCCAAAGTTAAATCTAGAATCGGCTTCCTATTTCGCAACAAAGCCTCCTTCACTCATGCTGCTAAACATGCCCCCGTAAAACTGACTATCCTACCGATCCTTGACTTCGGCGATGTAATTTACAAAATAGCTTCCAACACTCTACTCAGCAAATTGGATGTAGTCTATCACAGTGCCATCCGTTTTGTCACCAAAGCCCCATATACTACCCACCATTGTGACCTGTACGCTCTCGTTGGCTGGCCCTCACTACATATTCGTCGCCAAACCCACTGGCTCCAGGTCATCTATAAATCACTTCTAGGCAAATCCCCGCCTTATCTTAGATCATTGATCACCATAGCAACACCCACCCGTAGTATGCGTTCCAGCAGGTATATCTCACTGGTCATCCCCAAAGCCAACACCTCCTTTGGCCGCCATTCCTTCCAGTTCTCTGCTGCACCCCAGTATCTCTATTTGCACATCTATCACTCCAGTGTTAATACTAAATTGTAATTATTTTGCACTATGGCCTATTTATTGCCTTACCTCCATAACTTACTACATTTACACACACTGTATATATCTTTTCTATTGTGTTATTGACTGTATGTTTTGTTTATTCCATGTGTAACTCTGTGTTGTTGTTTTTATCGCACTGCTTTGCTTTATCTTGGCCACGTCGCAGTTGTAAATGAGAACTTGTTCTCAACTGGCCTACCTGGTTAAATAAAGGAAATATAAAAAATAACTGTTTGGCCATAATGACCATCGTTATGTTTGGAGGAAAAGGGGGGATCTTGCAAGCCGAAGAACACCATCCCAACCGTGAAGCATGGGGGTGGCAGCATCATGCTGTGGGGGTGCCTTGCTGCAAGAGGGACTGGTGCACTTCACAAAATAGATGGCATCATGAGGAAGGAAAATTATGTGGATATATTGAAGCAACATCTCAAGACATCAGTCAGGAAGTTAAAGCTTGGTCGCAAATGGGTCTTCCAAATGGACAATGACCCCAAGCATACTTCCAAAGTTGTGGCAAAATGGCTTAAGGACAACAAAGTCAAGGTATTGGAGTGGCCATCACAAAGCCCTGACCTCAATCCTATAGAACATTTGTGCACAGAACTGAAAAAGCGTGTGCGAGCAAGGAGGCCTACAAACCTGACTCAGTTACACCAGCTCTGTCATGAGGAATGGGCCAAAATTCACCCAACTTATTGTGGGAAGCTTGTGGAAGGCTACCCGAAACGTTTGACCCAAGTTAAACAATTTAAAGGCAATGCTACCAAATACTAATTGAGTGTATATAAACGTCTGACTCACTGGGAATGTGATGAAAGAAATAAATAAAAGCTGAAATAAATCTCTCTCTACTATTATTCTGACATTTCACATTCTTAAAATAAAGTGGTGATCCTAACTGACCTAAGACAGGGAATTTTTACTAGGATTAAATGTCAGGAATTGTGAAAAACTTAGTTTAAATGTATTTGGCTACGGTGTATGTAAACTTCCGACTTCAACTTAGATTGCACACAGGTGGACTTTATTTAACTAATTATGTGACTTCTGAAGGTAATTGGTTGCACCAGATCTGTTTTAGGGCTTCATAGCAAAGGGGGTGAATACATATGCACGCACTACTTTTCCGTTATTTAGTTTTTAGAATTTTTTTAACAAGTCTTTTTTTTCATTTCACTTCACCAATTTGGACTATTTTGTGTATGTTCATTAAATGAAATCCAAATAAAAATCCATTTAAATTACAGGTTGTAATGCAACAAAATAGGAAAAACGCCAAGGGGGATGAATACTTTTACATGGCACTGTATTTAATTCCCTTCATCTGAACATCGGAGTGTCAGCAATCATGCATGTCAGTTCAGTGCACACAGCATAACAGAGAAAATTATATATTTTAAAATACATTTATTTGAATATAACATTTGTAGAACAGACGCTTCTGTCTGTATTATGCCATGTCATCTCCAAACCAGCCCCCCCAAAATGACCTCTCCAAAATCCATATGACGGAGAACTTTAACTCTTTGAGTTGTCTTGGGTATGTCTATCAGTTTTGCACATCTGGACTTGGTGATTTTCTCCCATTCTTCCTTGCAGATTTTCTCGAGCTTAAATTAGATTGGGAGCGGCGGTGAGCAGCAATATTAAAGTCTTTCCACAGATTTTCAATGGGATTCAAGTCTGGGCTTTGGCTGGGCTTCTCAAGGACATTCACATTCTTGTTCTGAAGCCATTCCAGCGTTGCTTTGGCTGTATGCTTGGGCTCATTTTGAACGTATATCTTCACCCCAGTCTAAGGTTGTTTGTACTCTGAAACAGGTTTAATCAAGGGTTTGCCTGTATTTGGCTCCATTCATTGTTCCCTCTATCCTTACCAGTCTCCCAGTCCCTGCTGGTGAAAAGCACCATGCTCCACGGTAGGGCTAGTGTTAGACAGGTGATGAGCGGTCTGGTTTTCTACAGACATAATGCTTTGCATTCAGGCCAATGAGTTACATTTTTGTCTCATCAGACCACAGAATATTTTGCCTTATGCGCTCAGTCTTTCACGTGCCTTTTTGCAAACTCCAGGCGTGCTGTCATGTGCCTTTTTCCCAGGAATGGTTTCCGTCTGGCCACTCTCCCATAATGCCCAGATTGGTGAAGTGCTGTAGAGATTGTTGTCCTTCTGGCAGGTTCTCCCATCTCAACCAAGGAACTGTGTAGTTCTGTCAGTGGTCATTGGGTTCTTGGGTTCCTCCCTGACCAAGGTCCTTCTTGTCCCATTGCTCATGTTTGATCGGACGGCCAGCTCTAGGCACAGTCTTGGTAGTTCCATATTTCTTCAATTTCCCAATGACGGAGACCACTGTGCTCTTGGAAACGTTCAACACTCTAGAAATAGTTTTATACCCTTCACCAGATACTGTTTATGCCTCATCACAATTCTCTCTCTGACAGTTCCTTCAACTTCATGGTATAGTGTCTGCTCTGACATGCACTGTCAATTGTGGGACCTTATATAGACAGGTGTGTTTCTTCCTAAATCATTTCCAAACAATTGAATTGGCCACAGGTGGACTCCACTCAAGTTGTAGTGACTAGGGTTGAATATTTTACAAAATGTTCCATCCCGAGAAAAAATCACTTTCTCCCGGGTAACCCAGTATTTCCTGCCAAAACCGGACGTGTCATTCAAAAGCATTATAAAGCATATAAATAGGCCTATGTCTGGATTTGATTAGAGCTTTAATTGAAAATTCAAGCCTGATGCTACCTGAACCTGATGAGCCATACATTAAATACATTTTATGAGTCGTACATTAAAGCCCAAAGATTGTGCGGTTAGCCAATAAATAAATGATATACGGAAGTTTACATACACTTGGTTGGAGTCATTAAAACTCGTTTTTCAACAACTCCACAAATGTCTTATTAACAAACTATAGTTTTGGTAAGTTGGTTAGGACATCTACTTTGTGCATGACAAGTAATTTTTCCAACAATTGTTTACAGGCAGATTATTTCACTTATAATTCACTGTATTCCAGTGGGTCAGAAGTTCACATACACTGTGCCTTTAAACAGCTTGGGAAATTCCAGAAAATGATGTCATGGCTTTAGAAGCTTCTAATAGGCTAATTGACATCATTTGAGTCAATTGGAGGTGTACTTGTGGATGTATTTCAAGGCCTACCTTCAAACTCAGTGCCTCTTTGCTTGACATCATGGGAAAATCAAAAGCAATCAGCCAAGACCTCAGAATTGTAGACCTCCACAAGTCTGGTTCATCCTTGGGAGCAATTTCCAAACGCCTGAAGGTACCACGTTCCTCTGCACATACAATAGTACGCAAGTATAAACACCATGGGACCACGCAGCCATCATACCGCTCAGGAAGGAGACGCATTGTCTCCTAGAGATGAACGTACTTTAGTGCAAATCAATCCCAGAACAACAGCAAAGGACCTTGTGAAGATGCTGGAGGAAACAGGTACAAAAGTATCTATATGCACAGTAAAACGAGTCCTATATCGACATAACCTGAAAGGCCGCTCAGCAAGGAAGAAGCCACTGCTCCAAAAAAGCCTTCAGTTTGCAACAACAAATAGGTACAAAGACCGTACTTTTTGGATAAATGTCCTCTGGTCTTATGAAACAAAAATAGAACTGTTTGGCCATAATGACCATCATTATGTTTAGAGGAAAAAGGGGGTGGCTTGCAAGCCAAAGAACACCATCCCAACCGTCAAGCATGGGGGTGGCAGCATCATGCTGTGGGGGTGCTTTGCTGCAAGAGGGACTGGTGCACTTCACAAAATAGATTGCATCATGAGGAAGGAAAGTTATGTGGATATATTGAAGCAACATCTCAAGACATCAGTCAGGAAGTTAAAGCTTGGTCGCAAATGGGTCTTCCAAATGGACAATGACTCCAAGCATACTTCCAAAGTTGTGGCAAAATGGCTTAAGGACAACAAAGTCAAGGTATTGGAGTGGCCATCACAAAGCCCTGACCTCAATCCTATAGAACATTTGTGGGCAGAACTGAAAAAGCATGTGCGAGCAAGGAGGCCTACAAACCTGACTCAGATACACCAGCACTGTCAGGAGGAATAGGCCAAAATTCACCCAACTTATTGTGGGAAGCTTGTGGAAGGCTACCCGAACCGTTTGACCAAAGTTAAACAATTTATAGGCAATGCTACCAAATACTAATTGAGTGTATGTAAACTTCTGACCCACTGGGAATGTGATTAAATAAATAAAAGCTGAAATAAATCATTCTCTCTACTATTATTCTGACATTTCACATTCTTAAAATAAAGTGTGTGATCCTAACTGACCTAAGACAGCGAATTTTTACTAGGATTAAATGTCAGGAATTGTGAAAAACTGAGTTTAAATGTATTTGGCTAAGGTGTACAGTGGGGGAAAAAAGTATTTAGTCAGCCACCAATTGTGCAAGTTCTCCCACTTAAAAAGATGAGAGAGGCCTGTAATTTTCATCATAGGTACAAGTCAACTATGACAGACAAATTGAGAAAAAGAAATCCAGAAATTCACATTGTAGGATTTTTTATGAATTTATTTGCAAATTATGGTGGAAAATAAGTATTTGGTCACCTACAAACAAGCAAGATTTCTGGCTCTCACAGACCTGTAACTTCTTCTTTAAGAGGCTCCTCTGTCCTCCACTGGTTACCTGTATTAATGGCACCTGTTTGAACTTGTTATCAGTACAAAAGACACCTGTCCACAACCTCAAACAGTCACACTCCAAACTCCACTATGGCCAAGACCAAAGAGCTGTCAAAGGACACCAGAAACAAAATTGCAGACCTGCACCAGGCTGGGAAGACTGAATCTGCAATAGGTAAGCAGCTTGGTTTGAAGAAATCAACTGTGGGAGCAATTATTAGGAAATGGAAGACATACAAGACCACTGATAATCTCCCTCGATCTGGGGCTCCACGCAAGATCTCACCCAGTGGGGTCAAAATGATCACAAGAACGGTGAGCAAAAATCCCAGAACCACACGGGGGGACCTAGTGAATGACCTGCAGAGAGCTGGGACCAAAGTAACAAAGTCTACCATCAGTAACACACTACGCTGCCAGGGACTCAAATCCTGCAGTGCAAGACGTGTCCCCCTGCTTAAGCCAGTACATGTCCAGGCCCGTCTGAAGTTTACTAGACTGCATTTGGATGATCCAGAAGAGGATTGGGAGAATGTCATATGGTCAGATGAAACCAAAATAGAACTTTTTGGTAAAAACTCAACTCATCGTGTTTGGAGGACAAAGAATGCTGAGTTGCATCCAAAGAACACCATACCTACTGTGAAGCATGGGGGTGGAAACATCATGCTTTGGGGCTGTTTTTCTGCAAAGGGACCAGGACGACTGATCCGTGTAAAGGAAAGAATGAATGGGGCCATGTATCGTGAGATTTTGAGTGAAAACCTCCTTCCATCAGCAAGGGCATTGAAGATGAAACGTGGCTGGGTCTTTCAGCATGACAATGATCCCAAACACACCGCCCGGGCAACGAAGGAGTGGCTTCGTAAGAAGCATTTCAAGGTCCTGGAGTGGCCTAGCCAGTCTCCAGATCTCAACCCCATAGAAAATCTTTGGAGGGAGTTGAAAGTCTGTGTTGCCCAGCGACAGCCCCAAAACATCACTGCTCTAGAGGAGATCTGCATGGAGGAATGGGCCAAAATAGCAGCAACAGTGTGTGAAAACCTTGTGAAGACTTACAGAAAACGTTTGACCTGTGTCATTGCCAACAAAGGGTATATAACAAAGTATTGAGAAACTTTTGTTATTGACCAAATACTTATTTTCCACCATAATTTGCAAATAAATTCTTTTTTTTTCTCTCATTTTGTCTGTCATAGTTGACGTGTACCTATGATGAAAATTACAGGCCTCTCTCATCTTTTTAAGTGGGAGAACTTGCACAATTGGTGGCTGACTAAATACTTTTTTTCCCCACTGTATGTAAACGTCCAACTTCAACTGTAGGCTACTGCACATTACGCACGACAGAAGAACATTAAAGCCAATAGATATAGCTAGCTATACGCTCTCTTGGATAAATAAATTAAACAAGCTCCAGTAGGCTAATATTTTTGAGTGTGAACTGTATTACTGTACAGTATTGTATTACACTGTATTATATGGACAGGAATTACGCACCTCGTTCAAACCATGATAAAGCAGAAGAGAACATTATTATTAACATGCGATTCTGGTGAAGCACATGCAGCCTATAAAGTTCAAAGTATAGGCGAGCGAATAGTATTTTAATTTTGAGAAATATTTGTATGATTTGTAGGCTGATGCATATATACCTTTCAGAATATTTCCCCTAATCTAATTAGCCTACCTTCTCTTTCTCTCTCTAGTGTTGCTTCATTCCTTCCTCGCGTTCAACTGTTTTGTTGTCCTTATATCCATCATTCTAATGACATACTTGAATAATATAGGACTAGAATTAGATGCAGAAGGCTTTCACTTCTCTTCATGAAGATTGAATGGTTATGGTTCTGAATAAATAACTGAATAACCTACCGCCATCACGTGTTCGCTCTTCTTTCAAAACTACCTGTAAAGTTATATTGGCTGCTGTATTTAACATTCAGCAAACATGAGCTTGCGTCCCTCTTCGAATAGTCGATTGGTATAAGAAATGCTAAAAAAATTATGTCCAGCAAGCTGTTCTAGTCTAGCTTTTCCTGCATGGGACTCCAAGAGCTAAGGAGCGTTTTTTAAAGAGAGAGGCCAGTGGAGCACAGGTGTGTGTGTATTGCGCAATAGACAGAGGCTATAAATTAGAATCTTATTATGCATCACCCATCATTCATCATTCAAATATAAGGCTAATACTGCATTGAATGTATTACATGAAAGAGGTAGGCTAGGACATCTATATATAGGCCTGAACAGGATGATCTATTTTGGATGCAATTTGAATGGAATTGATGGAGAGAAAGACTGCGAGAGTGTGCTTGTGCATGCACTGATTTAAACCAACGATATTCGAGTGATAGGCTGTTTTAAAACTCTGCAGCTGCAATAAAGAAATAAATAAAAGATTTACAATTAAAAAATATGGTGACCCCCAAAAGCCAGATGGAGATGTGTAAACTAGACGCGCATTCTGTCTTTATATTGCTGTAGCATAGGCTATGTAAATGTAGGCCTACCTGTCACACGAAAAAAAGTTACCATGAGATAATAGGTCTACATGCATTGTGAACTGCACGCCATACTGAGATGGGATGTCTGTCCCCACCCCTTGCGTTGATGATTCAGCATGCCAGATTTAGACATTGCATATGATTTAACTGTTCCATTTCACGTCATGATGTTCATATATATAATTTATTATAATTTACCAGTTTCTCTCAGTTATTTCTCCCGGGAAAAGGGAGTGGTTTTGGGCAGTAAATCTCAGTAACCGGGATCCCGCCATTTAACCCTAGTAGTGACATCTCAAGGATTATCAAGGAAATTGGATGCACTTGAGCTCAATTTGGAGTGTCATAGCAAAGGGGTGTGAATACTTATGTAAATTAGATATATCTGTATTTCTTTTCCATAAATTTGTAACAATTTCTAAAAACATGTTTTCACTTTGTCATTACAGGGTAGTGTGTAGATGTGTGAGAAAAAAACGACTTAATACATTTTGAATTCAGGCTGCAACAACAAAATGTGGAATAAGGGGTATGAATACTTTCTGAAGGCACTATCTGTTTCATGTCTCAGGTAGCACGTGAAAGACAGCATGGATAAAATGCAAAAATGTAATAATATTTGCCATATTCTAATAATTCTCATGTGCCAATGTATCGCCCGTGCCATGGTGAAATTTGCACTCCTGTAAATCTGAAAGAATTGGATGGTGAAACTTGCATCCAGCCAACCAGAAAAGCAAGGCAATTCATGCATTTTTTAGATTCAGGACAATCCTTGCAGGGGTCACATTAGAGTTCAGAAATCAGCATTTTCAAAATGCAGACCATCAGAAAATCTGCGTTTTAATCCATTTCACCTGTGTTTTTTATATTGAAAGTCAACCGTGTTTTTTTTGCTTCAATAGAGTGATCAGGGGCGTGTAAATATTTACATTTGCATTTTAGTCATTTAACAGACGCTCTTATCCAGAGCTACATTTTTTTTTCTCATACTGGTCCCCCATGGGAAATGAACCCACAACCCTGGCGTTGCAAGCGCCATGCTCTACCAACTGAGCTACAGAAAATACATTAGTGTAACACATTTGGCAGAAAATGGCAACCAAATCTCACTTAGGGCCCCCTGCACATATTCAAGTTAGCCTTATGAACATAGAAACTTGGTTGCAGTTTCTATGATAATTTGGTAAAATGTTTAATACATCTTTAATACTGGTAATCAGAATGTGTTGTTAGGTGTCAAGTTATATGGCTGCAATTTGATTGTTTGAAGTGTAATTTTACAATTGTTTTCAAAAAAGCTATTGTTTACCTATTATTATTTTCTAAATCAATAATGTTTATTTATTGGGCCCACCACTCAGATTATATTTTGGCCCACCAAACCCAAAAGTTTGAGCACCCCTGCTATATAACTACACACATTACACTAGGCTCTACACACATTACACTAAAAAAAAATACTATGCTATGGATATTTTACAAAATGGCTGTGGTTTAACCTCCTCCCCAGGCTCAAGCCAGGGGTGTGATCATTAGTCCAAACAGTTGCAGAACGAAACTATTTGCTACTAAAACGAGAGTTTCTATTGGACAAATTCAGGGAGGTCCCTCACATTTCGTCCAGTTTGCGTCTGTTTAAGAAACGTTTTTCAACAGAATTGGCGTAATGAATATGCCCCTGGACCCAGCTTCAGCCTCAGGTTGAGGGAGTGGGGGAAGGGCTATACATTACGGACATTTCTGACGTGCAAACAGACAAGCCAAAATCGAAAAATGACCCTTAACTTAACCATTAACCAAATGTTTTACTAATTATGAATTTAAATATAGGTTTGCACGTCAGAAAGGTCCGTGTAGCCACTAAACAAACCATCTTTTATATAGCCCTTTCCGCGAGACTACAGGCAAAGATGGTGGTTGGCTAAATAGCTAGCCAGGTAGTTAGCTTGCTTGAAATTGTTGCAGCAATGCAGACTGCAACAGGTCACCTATACAATTAATTGCAATATATGGATCATTTACCCTTTTCCTCCCGGAGCGTTTGCATTTTGTTGTTTCGCAAACATTAGCTAGACCAAAAAGAGTGGCTCTCGACAGATATGTCCGTGAAAATCTTGTTTACGGCATTAGACCCACAGCTCAGTGCATCAGACGGTGAATGCATAGTAAGAAATGAATGCCTGTTTTTTACTGTGATGTTATAATCTTCAACGTTACACATTTTAAATCTATACTATTTTAATTTTAAATATAGAATGACATTAAATTGAAACTGTTTATGTAGCTAATCGTTTAAACAAACGGTTCAAACGTAAATACGGCAGGCAAAATTATAGACAGACAAATGAAGACCTCCTAAACACGTGATTTTGAAGTGCGGAAGTAAAGTTGTGATTTCGAAGTAATCTACGGGAAAACGTGAGTGAATATTTGTTTCTCACGGGTTGGAAAATTGCTAACCTAAAGAATCCATTATGGATGACGACGAGGAGACCTACAGACTAGGGAAAATCTGTAAAACAATCATGCAGGTAAATTGAGAATACTTAACTCCAGGCAGTTGGTTTACAACTTGCTCTCGATTCGGGTACCCAAGGCATTAAAAAGGCGTTCTGCCTTATCCCAAGGATTGTTAGTTAGTTGACTGAACTCCACGGTGAAGGAAGTTTCTGACTGGAATTCAGCTCTGATTCGTCCAAGTATTGACCTTGGTCCTCTGTAGCTCAATTGGTAGAACATGGTGCTTGTAACGCCAGGGTAGTGGGTTCGATCGCCGGGACCACCCATACGTAAAAAAGTATGCACACATGATTCTCCATTTTATACAATGTCTATAATTAAACACATTTGCCACTAGAAATGTGTTCAACATCCACTGAAGTAGCTAGTTAGCAAGTTTACTAGATAGCAACAAATCAAATTGCATTGGTCACATACACATTTTTGGGCAGATGTTGTTGCGGGTGTAGCGAAATGCTTGTTTACCTAGCTCCAACAGTGCAGTAGTTTTTTATTATTTTACTTCACCTTTATTTAACCAGGTAGGCCAGTTGATAACAAGTTCTCATTTACAACTGCGACCTGGCCAAGATAAAGCAAAGCAGTGCGATAAAAACAACAACAACACATAGTTACACATGGGATAAACAAAACATACAGTCAATAACACAATAGAAAATATATATACAGTGTGTGTAAATGTAGTAAGTTATGCAGGTAAGGCAATAAATAGGCCATAGTGCAAAATAATTACAATTTAGTATTGACACTTGAGTGATAGATGTGCAGAAGATGATGTGCAAATAGAGATACTGGGGTGCAAATGAGCAAAATAAATAACAATATGGGGATGAGGTAGTTGGGTGGACTAATTACAGATGGGCTGTGTACAGGTACAGTGATCGGTAAGCTGCTCTGACAACTGATGCTTAAAGTTAGTGAGGGAGATAAGAGTCTCCAGCTTCAGAGATTTTTGCAGTTCGTTCCAATCAGTAGCAGCAGAGAACTGGAAGGAATGGCGGCCAAAGGAGGTGTTGGCTTTGGGGATGACCAGTGAGATATACCTGCTGGAGCGCATACTACGGGCGGGTGTTGCTATGGTGACCAATGACCTAAGATAAGGCAGGGATTTGCCTAGCAGTGATTTATAGATGACCTGGAGCCAGTGGGATTGGCGACGAATATGTAGTGAAGGCCAGCCAACGAGAGCATACAGGTCACAATGGTGGGTAGTATATGGGGCTTTGGTGACAAAACAGATGGCACTGTGATAGACTACATCCAATTTGCTGAGTAGAGTGTTGGAGGTTATTTTGTAAATGACATCGCCAAAGTCAAGGATCGGTAGGATAGTCAGTTTTACGAGGGCATGTTTGGCAGCATGAGTGAAGGAGGCTTTGTTGCGAAATAGGAAGCCGATTCTAGATTTAACTTTGGATTGGAGATGCTTAATGTGAGTCTGGAAGGAGAGTTTACAGTCTAACCAGACACCTAGGTATTTGTAGTTGTCCACATATTCTAAGTCAGACCCGCCGAGAGTAGTGATTCTAGTCGGGCGGGCGGGTGCAACAGCATTCGATTGAAGAGCATGCATTTAGTTTTACTAGCGTTTAAGAGCAGTTGGAGGCTACGGAAGGAGTGTTGTATGGCATTGAAGCTCGTTTGGAGGTTTGTTAACACAGTGTCCAATGAAGGGCCAGATGTACAGTGAGGGAAATAAGTATTTGATCCCCTGCTGATTTTGTACGTTTGCCCACTGACAAAGACATGATCACTCTATATTTTTAATGGTAGGTTTATTTGAACAGTGAGAGACAGAATAACAACAAAATAATCCAGAAAAACGCATGTCAAAAATGTTATAAATTGATTTACATTTTAATGAGGGAAATAAGTTTTACTAGTGTTTAAGAGCAGTTGGAGGCTACTGAAGGAGTGTTGTATGGCATTGAAGCTCGTTTGGAGGTTTGTTAACACAGTGTCCAATGAAGGGCCAGATGTATACAAAATGGTGTCGTCTGCGTAGAGGTGGATCTGAGAGTCACCAGCAGCAAGAGCAACATCATTGATATACACAGAAAATAGAGTGAGCCCGAGAATTGAACCCCCATAGAGACTGCCAGAGGTCCAGACAACAGGCCCTCCGATTTGACACATTGAACTCTATCTGAGAAGTAGTTGGTGAACCAGGCGAGGCAGTCATTTGAGAAACCAAGGCTATTTAGTCTGCCAATAAGGATGCGGTGATTGACAGAGTCGAAAGCCTTGGCCAGGTCAATGAAGACGGCTGCACAGTACTGTCTTTTATCGATCGCGGTTATAATATCGTTTAGGACCTTGAGCGTGGCTGAGGTGCCCCCATGACCAGCTCAGAAACCAGATTTCATAGCGGAGAAGATACGATGGGATTCGAAATGGTCGGTGATCTGTTTGTTAACTTGGCTTTCAAATACTTTCAAAAGGCAGGGCAGGATGGATATAGGTCTGTAACAGTTTGGATCTAGAGTGTCACCCCCTTTGAAGAGGGGGATGACCGCGGCAGCTTTCCAATCTCTGGGGATCTCAGACGTTACGAAAGAGAGGTTGAACAGGCTAGTAATAAAGGTTGTGACAATTTAGGCGGCTAGTTTTAGAAAGAAAGGGTCCAGATTGTCTATCCCAGCTGATTTGTAGGGGTCCAGATTTTGCAGCTCTTTCAGAACATCAGCTGTCTGAATTTGTGTGAAGGAGATGCGGGGGGGGGCATGGGTAAGTTGCAGCGGAGGGTGCAGAGTTGGTGGCCGGGGTAGTGGTAGCCAGGTGGAAAGCATGGCCAGCCAAATGCTTGTTGAAATTCTCGATTATTGTAGATTTATCGGTGGTGACTTTTTGGAGTTAGTGCTACAGGATGCAAATTTCTGTTTGAAAAATGTAGCCTTTGCTTTCCTGACTGTTGTGTAAATTGGTTCCTTCCTAACTTCCCTGAAAAGTTGCATATCGCGGGGGCTATTTGATGCTAATGCAGTACGCCACAGGATGTTTTTGTGCTGGTCAAGGGCAGTCAAGTCTGAGGAGAACCAGGGGCTGTATCTGTTCTTTGTTCTGTATTTTTTGAATGGGGCATGTTTATTTAAGATTGAGAGGAAATTACTTTTAAAGAACAACCAGGCATCCTCTACTGACGGAATGAGATATATATCCATCCAGGATATCTGGGCCAGGTCAATTAGGAAGGCCTGCTCGCTAAAGTGTTTTAGGGAGCGTTTGACAGTGATGAGGGGTGGTCGTTTGACCGCGGACCCGTTACCGACGCAGGCAAAAAGGCAGTGATCGCTGAGATCCTGGTTGAAGACAGTGGAGGTGTATTTAGAGGGTAAGTTAGTCAGGATGATATCTATGAGGGTACCCATGTTTACGGATTTAGGGTTGTACCTGGTAGGTTCGTTGATAATTTGTGTGAGATTGAGGGCATCTAGTTTGGATTGTAGGATGGCCGGGGTGTTAAGCATAAATCAATTTAGGTCACCAAGCAGTACGAACTCTGAGGATAAATATGGTGTCCAGGGCACAGCTGGGGGCTGAGGGGGGTCTGTAGCAAGCGGCAACAGTGAGAGACTTATTTCTGGAAAGGTGGATTTTTAGAAGTAGAAGCTCAAACTGTTTGGGCACAGACCTGGATAGTATGATAGAGCGCTGCAGGCTATCTCTACAGTAGATTGCAACTCCAACCCCTTTGGCAGTTCTATCTAGAAGGAAAATGTTATAGTTGGGGATGGACATTTCAGAATTTTTGGTGGCCTTCCTAAGCCAGGATTCAGACACTGCTAGAACATCAGGTAAACCTAAGCGTTGGGTAACGATGAAAGAGAGAGCATCACTGGAGGCACCGATTGAGCCGGTCTCTGCGTGTGTGGGGGGTGGGACAAAGGAGCTATCTGAGGCAGGTTGAGCGGGACTGGGGGCTCTACAGTGAAATTGTATAATAAGAACTAACCGAAACAGCAATAGGCAAGGCATATTGACATTGGAGAGAGGCATAAAGCAATCACAGGTGTAATTCGAGAGAGCTAAGACAACAACTGGTAATGGCGACGAAAGTTTGGGCTGAGGCTAAACAGATAAACAGGACATATAAACAGGATGGGGTACCGTGTAAAGGAACATTCCAGCAGGCATCAGCTGTGTAGCTGAGTGATCATAAGGTCCAGTGAACAGCAATAGGTGAGTCCGGGAGCAGTTCGATGGCAGCTACGCACAGGCGAGCAGGAGGCACGGCTGTTGATTGCGTGTGCTAGCGGGCCGGGGCTAGCAGATGGATCTTCGTGGTCGTCGCAACGGGATGCCTGTTGAAACCACATCAGGCGATTACGTCGGCAGACCAGTCGTGATGGATCGGCGGGGCTCCGTGTCGATACTAGGAGGTCCCGTCCGGTTGACAGAGAGGTAGATAGCCGGGAGATGGGCCTGGCTCGAGGCTAGCTCAAGGCTAACTGGTGCTAGCTTCAGGAGAAGAGATGGGAGAACCTTCCAGAAGATCAACCATCTCTGCAGCACTCCACCAATCAGGCT